ACGTTTAAATTGTCTCCATGCTACATTAGACCAACCATGTGCTGCGGCGTGTGGCATGAAAAATAATTCTTTACTTTTTCTTCCTCTTTCCTTGCTCAAGTGGCTTGCCATTGATCCGGACCCACTTTTAGGGATAAAATCACATCAATTATGCCAAGTTAAGCCCCTTTGACCACATACCTCATTAACTCATTAATTACTCTCATTAGGTTAATAAATTAGAGTTAAAATTTTTCATATGTTACAATAATTCCCAACTAAGTAAACATCAAATCTCTCGGCCTCAGTTAACTTGAATAACATCATAATTTCCTAATTACTCATAAATGATTCCTATAGTCAAATTCTTTTGCTTAGCACACCAACTACGCAAAACCATTTTGGATGCACTAAAGTTATACTTAAATACAACAATATACCTAATTGGCTCTAAAGGTCAATAATGAAATTAGAATGAATGTGAACTCCTGATACTCTGCATTCAACCAAGCATTTTCTCGAGGGCTCTCCTCATAGTTAACCAAAACTCAATACATGGTTATTTCACAATAATTATTTTATAAAAAGATTTATCATTTATTCGCCATAACAAAATACAGTATTTGGCTACCTTTACATTGAGGTCCCCAACATTCTAAAAGGTGTAAGGTCTAATCCTTGGAGACACTTTTCTTCCATTCAATAAGCTTCAACTTATATTCTACACATAAAGGTTAACAATTCATATTTAATAACTAATTATCATTAATTAATCCTTAATTATGATTAGGGTATAATCCCTTCTTTAAGTATGATTAAGCATATCTAACCCTAAAACAAAATATCCATCAACTTATTTAACTCTTATCAAGCCTAGTAATCATTGTCATCAACTCTCATTAGTTTAAAACTAATTATTTAGCATGAAGGTTAATTCTAAACATTTCTTTAATGGCATTAAATACTGCTTACCTCTACAACTCAAGTAAAGAAGTATTAATTAACCCTTAAACAACCCATTTAAATTACCTTGATAGTTATAGTTCAACTATCATTTTGGACATCACTTTCCGAGGACCATAAACTAGAAAAATGAAGTGAAAAGAAGTAGGAGAAGAATAAATAAGGCTTACCCAAGGTTATAGAAGCTTCAAAATACTTCCAAGGTTCACCAATACGAAACTAGTAGAGTCTAGGCATTCTTTCTCAATTTCACTCTCAAATTCTCCTTTAAAATAAAATTTGATCACATTTCTATAAATAAAAATTTTCTATCACACTTGCCCAACAAATAGCCACAAAATGGACAACTTTACTTGAACTCATGATATTGGGCTGAAAATGGCCTAAACCCCTTTTTAATCCTATTTTAACTTCCCTAAAGGGTTTGTTAAGCCCAAATAGCCACCTAGACCCCATAGCCAACTTCTAGACTACTATAAGTAATTAATTAATTAATTCACCTAGTTCATTAATTTAATTCATAATTAGATTTCAAGATGTTACACACATAATTAGCCTTTCTTCAACATTCATCATCTCATTCTCACATATATCATATAAAAATCATTATCAAATTGCTACATTTGCGTTGAAAATAAGTTCACGAGCATCACATGTTTTCAAACAAGTTTATAAACACCTATAATTAACCAAACATATACATAAACTAAATTTTTATCAATTATCTCAAATCTTTGAAAGCTTAAATGTTTATCTCTCAATAAAAGTACTTCCAAAGCCTCACTAAGCTTGAATAGTGCCTCAAGGTGATTAATCTATAATTAATCACTCCACAATCATCAATATCATTAGTTATACAAATCTCAACTCTCTTTCTTAATGCTTTAAACATTTAAAATCCCAATCCATTGCATTTAGGCACCATTTGGTTTATCTACTTTTCACATCTTAAAAGTGCTTTTCTACTTTGGGGATGTAAAAAGTTGTTTGGAATCATTTTATTAGATCAAATGTACTTTCAGAAAAGACTTCCTAACTAGGTTCAAACATGAAAAATTGGAAGCTGCATTTTGTTGCTTTTGAAAAATGTATTTGAAAAGTAGGGTGTTATTTAACCATACTACCACAAGTTTAATCTCTTAATCTTTTATTTAAAAAATAGTTAATTTATTAAAAATATAATTATCATTTCTATAATAATAATTAGGTATCAAATTTTTAACATCATAAATTTTAAATGGAATAATTAATCATGTTAATTTTTGGCATTAATGTATAATAAAAAATACAAGTCTTTCTCACATTTTTTAAACTTACAAATAAAAAAAGTACAAAAAACTAAAGATTCAATTTTTAGCATTGTAGATTAAATTTATGTTATTTAAAATATTTATCACATTTTTTAAATATTTCAAATATATTACATTACATAATACAAATTACAAATCATTATAAATTAATATCTTTTTTGGTAATTGTACATTTAAACGCAGATTTCATTATCATAATTCAAACAATTTTCAGTGTATTAATTGACGTTTAAAATAATGTATCCAAACACAAATTTCATTACAACAATTGACTTTTACTAAATTTTCTTTCACCAAATGGACTTTTAGCAAACTAAAAACCAAATACATACTTAAGCTTATTCATTGAGTTTATTAACTCCCATTGACTACATCTAACATCAACAAACTCTTTATTCACGATTAATAGGGTTAAACAACCTTCAACCACCTCATTTATGGCCAATTTTTAGCTATTAATGCCCTTTAACCATAAAAAATGTATAAATTCACCAGCCTTAGGTTTAAATTATTTAAACAACTTCTATTAACTCTATTTAAATCAATGGGTTAGAACTCTATAAGTCCAAAAATCTACTTTCCTATGCAAACCCTAACTCATAACTTTAAAAAAATGGCAAAGGAAAGAAGGGGAAGGCTTAAGAAACTTACCTTTGATGTTTGTTAGCTTCAAATTACTCTTAAACCTTTGAAAATCTTGACCCTAACAGAGCCTTGCGCAAGTTCTTTGTTCCCTCTCCAATCCTCTTTCATTTTTCAAACGTTGGGACGTTTTGATTTAATTAAAAAAATGACCATACACTGTGGCTTATGCTACACGCGTCGTCGTGGATGATACAAAGAGGTACTTTCTCTGTTGCTTGGCCATGCACTGCAGTATATGCGCTGTAGCAGATGACGTAAAGGGGTTTTTTTTATGTTTTCTTCAACCTTTCGGGGGCAAGTGGCCTAACTCTGCTCCTACCCAATTCTATGGTTAAGACCATGACTAATAGGCCCATTAATCATCTCTAACCATCCTACTAACACTTTACGTACTTAACCTTATTTAGGTTTTTAGTTAACCAGGGGTAAATTTTTAGGATGTTACATAAAAATACAAGTTTCTATGCTTCCATATAAGCCAATGTGTGATGAAGAAAAACTTTCCAATCTTCAATCTCCACGCTTGTAGAAAAGTGCAAGTTTCGATTCAACCATTTTTAAAGATCCATTGAAAAGAAAATGTGTCTTCTTCTCGCATCAACAACAAATCTTCGTAACCAAGCAATACTCAAACAGGCTCATAGTATATGTAATATATCCTCAAGATGATCCTTACACCATGTATAGGTGACATCAAAGGTGATTGTTTTCCTTTAACAACGCTCCTCATTAGTTAGGAGCTTATTATGGAATGTTAGCCAGGCTAACATTCTACAAAGTCGTGGCACCTACATCTTCTAGATACTATTATATGAGATGCCTCCAATCGAGCTTGACCTGTTCAACACTTCATGGGCAAATCACATAGTAAACTCAACTGTGCTTTCCCATTCCCATCATATGTCACTTGTGTCATGAGCCCTCTTAACACCCTCAACCAACTTGGGCCATATGTTTTCTTACACTTGTCCACACATTTGATCTTGGTCTCTTCACCTGCACCTTTAGAATAATGTCATTTCCACATTTATATTTGGCTCTAATAACTCGAGCCCACACTGCATCTAGTTTCTTTATCAGGTTCCATCCAAGCTTCATCATATAGACTTGGTTTTACGTTCGAGCATTTTTTTTATTATTCCTAGACCACTACTCTTCTTGTTATCACAAACTTTTTCCCATGCAATTAAATGAGTTTTACAGTTCTCCATTGTACTTCTCCAAATGCAATCTTGATTGTACTTATCCAACTTCTTGCACATGTTAACCAGTAAAAAAGAAATCTGCATAGTGTATCTAGGTATAGCCACAATGACAAAAGATGCTAGAGTAACTCACCCAGCCATGGAAAGTGTAGAAGCTTTCTATTTCAACAAATGTTTTCTCACCTTGTCAGCCACTTTACTGCAAGTCTCATGGTCAACCCTTTTATTATGTAATGGTATGTCGAGATACTTCTTAAGATCATCGTTTTTCATAAACCTAGTTGAGCACTGATTTTGTTGGTAAAAGGAACTGTTTTTTTGAAAGGAAGAGTAACAATTGAGAATCTGGGAAGAACATTATCTGTGAAAAAACAACTTCTAAACACCACCATTACATAATATAAAAATATTTTAATTGCCAATATTAAAGTTTGAGTGTAAATTCTTATTCTACGTCAATATTTTTTAAGGTGTTTATTTGTAATTCTTCTTCTTCTTTTTGTAGTACAAGGAGGTACTTTTTCAGAAAATACAAAAAAAAATCAAAATATTAAAAACACCCAATTCATTTTTAGTTGTCCAATTTAAAGGAGTTTTACTGTTTTGATCAATTGTTCCACCACAACCGGCCCTCCTTTAATCATCGCCATTTCAACGTCAGCTAAATACTATATTTAACTAAACAAATACACTCAGCTTGATCAACCAACAAAATATTTTGCTAATCTACCATAATTAGTGAAATGAATTACAAATTAAGCCGGCTATTATTATTATTATTATTAGCAGCTGTACTAAAATTCTTAAATTAAAAATTATATTTCCCCCTCCATTGATCGCAGGTTGAAAGTAGCAGTCGGGCCCAGAGTTCTCAGCCCGTGCTTTATATTTGCGGGGTCGGAGTTGCCGCTCAAGAGAGGCGCGTCCTCTCTTCCCCCAGTCTTTGCCTTCATCGGCATCATCTCTCCTGTGCTGTCAAACTATACTTTCTATCCCAAAACCCTTATTTTCATTCACTGTTGCACTAGTCGCAGCTGCCCACCATAGTTCATTTTCTCCCTTTGCTCTCTGCGCCGCCTTTACATATACGGCCGCTGCACTCAGTCGTACGCATCTTCTTCTTCGTCTTCAAACATGGCAACGTCGTCCGTCAAGTCTCTTAACAAATCCCCTGGCCGCCGTCGCTTTGTTGTAAGTTTTCTATGTCAATGACATAGTGCCTGCCGTCCACTCTGTTTGTTCATTCCAGTGGAAGCATCTGGTGATAGTTATTTCCCATCTAGTTAACAGTTTATATAGGGTGGCAACGCGAGCTAGAACCCCGAAAACTTTATGTGCCATGAGTAAAAGTTGGTTTTTGGTTTCGCAAAGATGAATGGGCTGTGTTTTTGTTTGTAATTTTGATGTTATTATCTAATTATTTATGTGGTGTGCTAAAAACCTGAACCTTTATGCATAGGAAATGCTCATGTCTTTTATTTGCAGCGATACATTTCTTGCTTCTGAGATTTGGTGAATTATCTGTTCACTTTTGCGTCCTTCAATATTGAATCTGCCCTTTCGATCTGAAGATTTTCTCATATGTATAATTTGTTCCAGTCAATTTGTTTTTAATTGCCCACTATTTAGGATTAATTGTTTGGCATATTTTTCTTTGATGTACAGTTTAAGACATTCTACGAGAGAATAGATGATATAGATATAAACGTCTATCAGAGTCTTGAAAAAGTCAAGTTGGAGCCATCGGAGGGTTCCTCCTTCTTTAGAGACTGCCTGGTAGAATGGAGGGTATGGCTTCAATTACAGAGCTGATATATTTAATTTTTTTGTGCTCTTTGCATGAAAGTTTATTGGTTCTGTTAGATGCATGCAACTGTTGTAGTATTCTAGTACTTATCACTACTCTGTTATTGATTGCATACTGTGAGCTGGAATTGGAATGGGAATAGAACGAATATTCTGTTCCAATTATATATTCCTACGAGAGCGGAATGAAATTTCATTTCTCTTATGTTCTGTGCATGGAATTGGCATATAATGGACTTGTATGGTGACTAAATGAATGAAAAAAAAAAACTAGTATTGATTCATTATTGGTTGAGATAAATGGTGAAATCACCCCTCCTCCTTAAGGGTGGATCAGTGATTCTTGTCTTTGAGAAACATGGAATTTCACAGATTATGTGCATCCCTTTCCTTACCAAACTGAGGAATCACAATTCCTTGGGCTTGGAACTAGAACTCATCCCTTAATGTATACAAACTTGCTTTCATATAAAATGTATTTTTGGAGAAAATGCTTTCAATTTTATATTCCCCCACTTTCTCATAAAATTTTTACACCTAAGTATTCTTCTTTTCTGCTATTCTCCTAAACATCTGCCACATTAGCGGAATTTCAACTTGATTAATTTCCCTTATTTTTTATACACACACCATTTTCTTGTTCATGTTTGACATTTTTTTATTTGCGTTAATTGTCATGAAAAAGGAGTTGAATACTGCTGAGGATTTCATCTCATATTATGAAGAAGTTATGCCCTATACACAAACATTGCCCTTGGTACTGTTGCACAAGGAGTCGTTAATCTCAAAACTCCTTTCTAGATTGCAATTAAAAGCAAGGCTATCGCTTGAGCCGATTTTCAGGTATGCTAGCCCTTTTACGTTTTGCTTAGTTGGGCATGCAGATTTGTTTAATGATAGAAAGGCTACTACAGATATCATTCTTAAAATTTTGAACAAGGCATCATTCTATGTTAATAGGAGAGATATATTTTCATCTTTATTGACAAAAATTTTGGTCTGTCTGACTCCTTAGTTTGCAATAGTAATTATTTAGAGCTTTATATGGTGCTTAATTGACTAGGGATTCTGTTCAGGAATGGGGATTTTGGTCGGAGTATATATGTATGCTGTAGAGGTTAGGAATGAGTTCTGTCCAATGACACAAGTCAACACTATCTAATATCAAAATCTAGTGATAAAAATAATAATAAAAAAAAATTACGTTTTGACAAATGCCAGTTACTTTCGAAAAATAGTTACTATTTGCTGTATGCTTAATTTTCTGATTCCTTAACTCAAGTAACCTTTGACCTGGATGATGAGAGACCAGGTCTTATTTAGGCCTTTTTTCCCTTTCTATCTTCTAGTGTTTTTGTGGATTTTAAACCTTCGTTTCTGCAGGTTAATTGCAGCTTTATCTAGAGATCTCCTGGAGGAATTTGTTCCGTGAGTTGCTTATCTCTTGGACTGGATTTACTTCAGTGAATTCATGCTTTTATAAGGCTTCTGTCTTCTATAATTTATTTTAAGTGTCAGGTTCCTGTATGCTAGGCTGTGATATTGGTTATGAATATCCTTTTCTGCCGTTTATGAATGTTTAGTTATTGTGGCTTCCCATGCATTTCTTTTTCTCTCACTGCTTACTTAATCACTGTGCATGTTGATTGTACTAGGCTTTTGCCAAGAATTGTTGGTTCTTTAGTGTCTCTCCTAGAAAGTGGGGCTGATCGAGATCCAGAGATCATTGAGTGGGTAAGCTATCATCTTGGTCTTTTTTTTTTCTTGTGAGGAGAATTATTTGGCTTTTCATTTTGAGACTTGGTTTTTGTCACCATTTTGGTGTGAATGCTAAAACTATGTTTGTTGCCATGCAGATGTTCATTTCATGGTCATACATAATGATGTATTTGCAGAAGTATCTAATATATGACACGTTACATGTGCTCAAGTGAGTGATGAAGTTTGATTTCTGTATGCTCTTCTAATTGAAATATTGACTGTTCAGAAAACGCTGACTAGTTTATTCATATGCATTCTTTCGTGCCATCACCTCTCTGATAGATGCCAACTTGTTTAACGTATGCACAACTCAAAATGGACTAAGATGGTTGGGAGTGACAATAATATTAATTAATAAATTATTGCTTTGATATTCTCTTAGCAAACTAGTTTGACTTAGCTTATTTTGTCTTTATCTGCTTTTATATCAGATTTTTTTTTTTTGGGAAGCTGTTGTACTCTGTATTATTTCCGCATATCTTGTTGAGATCATTGGGATATGAAATGCAGACCTGTTGCAATCTATTCCCTCACACCCACATGCGCGGGGGAATCTTTTATGAATAACACACATGAAAATTATCCTTCATACTTGCTCATTCACTAAGTCACATTCATTTGTTGCATTAACGGGATTTTATGTGGTACTATGTAGATGGAGCCTCGCATTTCCATAATGAACTTAGATGTTTGTTATCTCATTTTTCAAGTTGATGTGCATACTTATCTACATGAGATAACCTCAAAGCATGTCAAAAACTTTTATGGTTCCAAAGAATTAAATGGTAATTATATCTCTGGTGCCAAAGGGCTGGCAAGCAGCATAGTGACTTTCGTCTTTTGATCATACAATTATGTTAGCCAATCATATTTCACTAAGATGAAAAGATTTTTAAACTGCATGGTACACAGACATTATGTACAAACTTTATTCATTGCACTTTCAAGTTTCTTATATTTATTTTGTCGCTTCAAGGGCCACAGCAAAATTGAGATATTACCCAAAAGAGTATATCCAACAATTCATGGCTGAGGCTGTATCATTTGTTCTGAGAAATGCACCAGATGAGCATCTTAAGAGAGGTAGGTCTTGACGCTTTTTCATTGCAGACTAATTGTGAGTGAACTGTTTAGATCTCTTAGTGGCTTTAAGTTAATCTTTTCCTTTGTTTTTCAAATCAATTTCAGAATGTTTATGACTGTTACACTGCCTCGTAGTTTCATATTTTGTTTGGTTCTCATTCTTTTTTCCCCCTCTCTTTTTAATTCATGATTTGTGGATTCATTTCTTTAATTTTTTTGGATGCTTGTAAACCTTATAATGCTGACGGATTGGATAGGAATTGGAAGGGTCATGCTAGAAGCAGTGAAGAAGCCCTCACCCTGCAGAGAATCAGGTGTTCAAGCTCTACTTTATCATGTTATGACAGTTTCCTCATTAAGACTCCATTCAAAAGCAGAACGAGTATTGAAATTACTGACAAGCAAGGCAATATATTCTATTGGTGATAAAGATAACCAAGGCAAGCTTGTTTCTTAGTTTAAGCAATCTTTCTCTCTAATATATATCGCATATCTACATGTCCCTTCCTGGGGCCGTGCATCTATGTGTCAGTCCTTGGTCATTGGAATTCATGCATTTGTGCCTGCACGCACACGTCTGGTCAATGGAGTTGTTGGTCACAATTTTGAGGCGTTGTTGTATATGCACATGTTGATATATTCTAATTTGAGTCTGCTGATCTCTTAGGACTTCAATCATGGTTGAAGTTTTTACTTAGTAACCATTGGTTAATTGGTTAGCTTTGATGGTTGCATATAAAGAACTTGGTTTTTTTTTTTTTGGATAGAGTGTGAACTCATTGATGCTTGATTGTGGTGTATATGGTTAGACCAGAATGCTTAAAGTTTCTTCCATCTCATTTTCTTAGATAGAGTTATTTTTTTTGTCCTTCTTGAGCAAATGATTGTTTATTTATTATTCATTTAGGTTCATTGCCTTTTGTTGTCGTCATTTTGTTTTCTCTTTTCTTTTTGTATTAATATTTTTTTTGGGTAGTAAAAGACTGTAGAAAAAACTTGGGCCCAAGTTAATTACTAGCCATGTAAATGTTACCTACAAAAGTGTGGAAAATCCTGATTCTGCCAAAATGCCCTGAACTTGGTTGCAAGGAAGTGTGGTGGCCTTTATGGAACCAAAAAGAGAAAGACCATCTTGTTTGTACTTCGACTAGAAATGAACCATGCTTGAGATGTCTTACACACATTGACATGGTGAGGAGCATGAACCCACGTTTGCTTCTTCTCATCTTCATCACTAATCCTAAGTTTGCTCACTTCTCTAAATTTAGATGGCTTCCACACTTGCTTCTTTACTCAAGTTGAAGAATAAAACAACAACAAATGATTGTGGGAATTTCTCGGCATTCTGATGAAGGTTAACTAGAGTTTGATGGTGGTGGCCTCTTCATTTTGGTGTTGTTCTAGTGGTCTAGTGCCTTTTCTTTTCTTTTCTTAGTTTAGTGGCCATTTGGTTCACTGAATTAGAGGGAATGTAATGTAAAGTAAAGATGATTACCATTAGTTTCCTTAGTCTGACATTAGATATGGTAAAAATAAATTTATTTTTTATATTCATTAAATTCAAATAAAAGTGAAAGAACAAAAATGCCCTTAGAATAAAACCCTCCTCCTTCATTCAGCATTCTCCATTGTTTCCCTTCACCGTTGCCCCTTTGTCCTTCCTCCTCCATCTTCCTAATGCCACCAACATCTACAACATTTTTGTGTCCTCACCATCCTATGACAATCAGGTTCCTTTAAAGCAAAAGGGAAAGAAAGAAACAGATCTGAAACAAGCAAGATCCAAAGAAAATTGTGAGAAGACAAGCGAGTGAGACCCAATGAAGGTTGGGGATGCTAATGACTAGAGAAGACATATGAACAACTGGATTTGGAGAAGACAAATGCATGAGGTTGATATAGATTGTGGGTTTAGTTAATATTACAATTCTAGTTAAAAAATGTTGCTGACAATTGGTGTGTTGTTGGCGGAGGAGTTTTATCCGTGGAGGAGCGTTGCCAGTGAAAGATTTTTGTCTATAGAGGAGCGTCATTGTCAGAGGTTCATCAGAGATGGCAGGTCAAAAGGTACAGGAGAACCAAGGGACAAGAAGCAGAAGGTGAATGGTGACAAGAAATGAAGAAGAATCAAGGGCATGGCTGTCTTTTGCCATCATGTAATCCCAATCACATAGGTCTAATGATGTAATCCCGATTACGATTTATGTGGTAATCTTGGACCCATCATGTAATTGTTTTTCCTTGACCTTGTCTAACCAAACACCATGAATAAGGAAAATCCATCTGGATTGCATGCAATCCTAATATAGGGAATCCAACCAAACAGGCTTGCATGCAATCCTAATGTAGGGAATCCAACCAAACGGGTTATTAGGGTTTGATAAAGGGATTTTGATCTTTGATATCGATGAAATTCAATTTGATCAATGCAATATATTTACCAAACAATAATTATATAAGGATTCCATATACTTTTTTGACATACCAAACATATTTTTAAATCATAATTCCATTCTTTTTCATATTTCAATTTTAATTCTTTCCCTATTTCACTCCCTTCAAAAAGTCTACCAGCATACCAAAGGGGGCACAGTATTTGCAAGCTTCCTAGCGCATAGTTCACAACAATTAATTGGTTGAGTGTAAAAAATATTTAATTTGGTGGGAGGATATTATGTTGTTAATACATGGGTTGTGATGAGCATTTTTTGAAGATTTTTGTTATTGATCCAACTTATTATCCCTTCCTTCTCTTCTCTAGATACCTTCTCAACTTCATTTGGCCTATGATATCATGATTTGAGCACTAGTCGGCAGTTACCTTTACCACCACTGCTACCAATGTCACTGTTACTGTTGTTATACTCCTCTTGCTCCTACTAAAGAGCCTAAAACATAATAGTTTCTTTAGGCCTTGTTTGGTACATGGCTTTGATTTTTAAGGGATTGGGAGTAGTAATAAGTTTTAACATTGTGTTTGGTATGACATAGGATTTAAAAAAAAAAGACTCAGATTTATCCCAAAAAATAGGAAAAAGGCAATGTTGCTGTAATCTTTTTTCTTCTTCATCCTTTCCTCTTATGCCCACTACTTAGGTTCATCACCATTGTCATTATTCTGGCTAAAAGTGGGGATGCTTTTGATGAACCCAAATTCTTCTTCATCATTCTTCTTGTTAAAAGGCGGAATCATTTTGATGAACCCAAATTCCATTGCTACTTGAACTTACATTTTCCGTATTCATCCTCCTTAGCCACTACCTTCGCTGTCGTCAAGCTTGCTAGATTTGGACTAAGGAGGTAGAGGATTGCCATCAAGCAAATCAAGACCAAGGAAAGAGAGGGGTCGTGGTTGATCTCACTAGGTCTAAACTTTCATAACAAGATCTAAACAAATCTAGGGATGCTGACACAAACTAGCTCACCAGATCTGATCTTTCAGGATGTCGGTGACGAGAATGGACATGGAGTGAAGAGCAGATGCTGTTCACACTTCACTAGGAGTTAGGGACCCTGATCCATTAGGGAGTGACGGCAACATGAGGATAGCTGATGGACAAGAGGGCAATTTGGTCTGAAATTATGTAGTCTCTGGACTGATTTCCCAATACTAGGGGGCGGTGGCATTAGGTAATGGGATTGGGATTAAATCTCCCATTGTCTCATACCAAACATGAAAAGTTGGTATCGGCCAATCCTAGTGCCAGTCCCACTTCATCAGTCCAGCATACCAAACATGACCTTAAAGTTCAAGTTCAATGATAATAAATGTGGCAAAATTAAATAGGGATTTTTATGGTGTCCTACAACATTTTTGTCCTTATGTCTTATCTAATGTTACTTATGAAAATAATTGTGGTTACTCTAATTGGTGAAATTCTCCTCAGGATTTTGGTGGATTCTTTATAGTGATTGATGTGGCTCTTTGTAAATATAGTGAATTTTTTCAATGATTTTTAATGTATTGGTTCATTATTTTCGCTATTGTCCCCTCTCCCATCCAGAATCAAGCACTGTGCTGGAAATTGTAAAATCTATCTTTGAGAAATTGTGTGAGATGATGGAGCCCAAGGAATTGAATCAAGTGTGGGAATGCTTATATGAGGAAGTCAGAGAATGTGCTTGTACTGGAGGGATTTCGCATTTAAGATGCCTTCTATCAGTGCTAATTTCAGCTGTAAAGGCCCACAATGGGCGAAAAGTTTTGGGTGAGTTAATTTATATAAAATACCTTCGGCCTTGTAATTTGTTATTATTTATATTACTTAAATTTATGGGAGTTATTCCATTTTATTTTTAGCAATATTTGTGGCTCATCAAAATGTGTTAATGGAATAGGTTAAAATGCTGACAGGTTCCTTGAAATTCTTCTTGGAATTTGTGTTTGTGTGGCTTTTTCCTGGTTCGCATTCTTATTAGTGTGCTTATTTTAGTTGTTTACAGAGTTTGTATGCAGTTGTTCTAATCTTATTTGCAATTATGCTTGCCAGATTATAAACCTATGCTTGAACTTGTCTTGTTGCTTGTGCGGATGTACATCACAACTTCTGGCATGATCAAGTCCCAAGATGATATATCTTTGGTTATTGACAGAATTTTGAAATTAATGTTGGGTATTCTTAACGGGCTCCGCGGCTACATTGACAAGTCTTTAATATCTGAGTGTGCATTGCAGTGGGCTCCTGTTTTTAAGTTACAAAGCTCCAGGTATTGACTGGACTAATGTTTTTGCAATGTTGACATTTTCTTTTGTTTGTTTCTGTTCCTTCTTGATATATATCTATGCATATATTTATTTATTTTTGCTTGCTGCAGTTTACTTCATTTTATTAGAGAGTTGCTACTCATGGAACATTGTTTACATGCATTCAGAGGTGCTGTTTTAAGGTAACCTCAAAACCATATAAATATGCATGAATGAATTATGGCTTGGACCTTTGTAAATATGATATTTAACTTCTATGACCTGATTTTTAGTGCAATAGATGATTTGATGGAGAATTCAGAGGAAGAAGTAATATATTTGTTACAGTCCTTCTGCGAGGAAATGCAATTAAACGTACAGAAGGAAGACTTTGTGGATGGTACAAGTGCTGAAGCACTTGCAAGGATTTCCAGTCATTTGCAAGGAATCATCAATAAAGCAATAAGTTATATTGCACATTGTGAAGTATCATGTCAAATTGATGAAGGAAAGTTGGCACTTCTATGGGGAGCTGTTAGCTGCTATTCTCACATGTCAGTTGTCAAGGCCAATCCATCTTTGTTAGTGGATCTTGTTAATGCAGTAGATCACCTTGTGAAAGTTAAACCTGGTACCATCTTGATCCTTCATTCTTTGCAATATACTTCTTTGATGAACAACTTTATAGAACCTTATGCTGTTAATTATATTGATCAGAAGGTGGAAATGTTGTCTTTGCTATTGTAATTGCGGATGGGATTGATCGATACCTTGAAAAGGAAATCTGGCTCTGTTTATACATTACAATATATGCGTTTTTTTGTCTATAATAATTCTCCTTCTTATTCTCATGTATTTTCTTTAACCTTGTGGACAGTACAATGGCAGAGTTTCTCATGATTTTCTTGCTTCTGGCTCTTTTGTTGGAATTTTCTTAATGGCATATGCTGTTTGCTCAGGCTACATTGCAGATAGTTCTAAAAAAGCCTGGGAAAGCATTATAGGTGCTGCGTTAAGTTCTTACGACAGTCTATGTCGCAACAGTAGCTGTGGAGTTGATGCGACAGAGAAGTTTTTAAGTCTTGCAAAAAGCTATCGATCATCTTCACGAGTGTTGTCAGCTGTAGCTGATCATTTGGAATCCAAGTATGGGTAAGTGACTTCGTGTTTGTAATTAAATGTTTGTAGACATGTTTGCCTGTCTTCTTTCTGTGTTTAATATTCAGATTTTGTAACTTCTGTTTTTGACAGTCAAAGCTCTGTTCTTATTACTCTCTCTATTGAACTTTAGTTCTCCTTTAGAAGAAGCTGGCTATAGAAAAATTCATTCAGAGATTGAAGAGAGGATTGACAGTGTGGTGACCATATTTGCTGATAATCTGAGCCATCCAGACAAGGGGATTCGCATTTCAACTCTCAAAATACTCTGTCTCTACAAATTCCCGGATAGGGAAATTCCTTCAGCAGAGCAGATGGCCAAGAAGAGAAGGAAAACTGAACTTTCTCATATTTCCAGCGCAGATAGAATGCCAAGTAATGTATGTATCATGTGTTCCAAGCTGTCATCTTTTTACTTCAGCTTCTAGTTATCAGAGCTCTAATTTTGTTGATGTAACAGGTTCTTCAGCTCCTTCTCTCAATTGAAACAACTCCTATTTCAATTGCTACCAGCAGATGCATTCAGCGAGTGATTTCCAAGATCCAGATGGACCTATCTGCTGGAAGGATCTCTGAAGTTTATGTACCCCTTGTTTTGAATGGATTGCTTGGCATCTTGAATAATCGTTTTAGTTACCTCTGGAATCCTGCGTTGGAATGTCTTGCAGTCTTGATTAGTCAACATTTTGCACTTGTGTGGGATAACTTCGTGTGTTATCTTGAACGATGTCAATTGATATCACAGACCTTTTCGGTGGTAGATCATTGTGTGAATGTTGTATTGCCTGATAGGCCAACTGGTATTGTCCAACTTGATGAATACTTTTGGATGCTATATTTATTTATTGAAGTTTGTCTCATGCATAGGTGCATGTGTAAAAGAAGAAAACTTTCAAAGAGATGGAGATGCTAGAACAGTACAAGGCATCCTTCTCGAAAAGTTAAACTTATCTATATGCAACAGAAACACTATGTTTAGAAATGATGTATGCAATTAGTTCTGATCACTGAGTCTGACTTGTTCTTGATATGTTCTATAAATATTGCTGTTATTTTAGTTAAGGTTTTACACTTAATTTGATCAATCTTTTTTTTTTTTTGTGGCCAACTAATTAATAATTTTTTTTTTTGCTTATAAGTTATGTAAGTTTTGTCCTTACAGAAAATGTTCCAATCATTAAAGGAAAACAGGGAAATTCACTATGTTGCTATTCATGGTCATATAAACCATACAAAATAAATTAAAAAATAAGTGAACGAGAGATGAGTATAAGGAGTGGCATTATCATTGTGCTTGGCTTTAAGCTTTAGTTACTAATCTGCTTTCTTTTTGATTCATTATTTAAGCTCATTTGTTTCTCAGGTCTCTGTGACTCTTTCCAACAATTTGTCAATTGTGCTTCTGATAGTACACCTTGTGTGACAATCTTGTCATTGTTGCTGCAATGTTTACAAAAGATTGCAACTGTTGTTGAATCCCGGTCTCGGCAATTCATACCTTTATTCCTAAAGTTTTTAGGATACAACACTGGTGACCTTGTGAGGTATATATGTGGTTGATTTGGTCCCTTTATCAGTACGTTTTTTGAAGTTTGAATATGATGTTTTACTCAAGTTACCTAGTTTTAGAGTTTGTTTCTTTGTTATACGACATTACAGTGTGGGATTGTTTGACAATCAAGCTTGTAAAGGCAAAGCATGGAAGACTATCCTGAAAGAATGGTTAAACTTGTTGAAGCTGATGAAAAATCCCAAGTCATTTTACTGGAGTCAATTTCTTAAGGAGGTTTTGCAAAACAGGTTGATGCACACTTTTTTGTTGGGCTATTTGACAGTTTTATCTTGCTCAATTTCATCTGCCTCGTCAGTTACATGCATAGTTCATGTTGGATTTTTTTTTTTTTGGCTACTTAGCGGCTGTATCTTGCTTAATTTCATCTGCTCATCAGTTACTTGCATACTCCATTTTGGAGATCACCCCTACTTAAGACATTATTTTGTGTCCTTTTGGTAGGCTTATGGAAGAAAATGATCCTGAAATTCAAATGAAAGTTCTGGATTGCTTGTTGACCTGGAAGGATGATTACCTTGTACCATATGATCAGCATTTGAGAAACTTGATCACTTCAAAAAATTTGAGAGAGGAATTAACAACATGGAGTTTATCTAGAGAAGCTGGCACCATTGAGGAATGTCATAGGATGCATCTTGTTCCATTAGTTATACGTCTTTTGATGCCAAAAGTCAGAATGCTAAGGGAACTTGCTTCTCGGAAGGTATATCTAATATGAACTTCTGAGTTGGTTGCTTTCATTGGCCTCACACTGAGGGTTTGATTATTTGAATGTGCATTTCATATGGCTAGTTCTAAACTGATCATTCATTATCTTTTTATCTTGACAGAATGCAAGCATATATCATCGGAAGGCTATTCTGCAATTCATTGCTGAAGTTGATGTCAATGAGCTGCCAATTTTCTTTGCATTAATGATAAAGCCATTGCAGATAGTAAATAAAACTGATGGACCTGCCAAGTTGTTTTGGACTCTACCTGGAGGTTCTGTTAGTGAGTTTCAAGCATCATCTTTGTTAGAGTATTTCACCTCAGAAAGTATAGCAGGGATTTCCTTGAAAAAGAGATATGCTTTTCTGCATGTTATTGAAGATTTCCTTGGAGTTTTTGATGACTCGCACGTTAGACCTTTTCTTGATCTATTGATGGGATGTGTGGTTCGGGTATTGGGAAGCTGTGCATCAGGTCTTGACAATGCAAAATTGAATGAATTCCCTTCAGATCAAAGCGATTCTGGAACTAATTCATTTTCCCAAAGGGAAAATGTCACTCCAGTAAATAAAATCCTGGTAATATTTTGATCATTGTCAATGCAGAATATTATTAGTTTTGAGCTTTTCTCATTTAACTTTGATAACTAATGAATGATGGGTGCCTGAAGTTGGTCTCAATAGCGGTAAGACCATGCATATATCCATAAAATTAATTTAGGTATTATCCCTTTCAATATTTATGTCGAAGTTTTAGTGGGGGTTGTGCAACTAGTTGCTTTCTTGCTTATCACAATCTTACGGTTTTTAGTTTCCCTCTTCAGTGCCATGCTTAATGGCTCAAATCACTGTCCCGCTAGTGAAGTATGAATCTCCTATGTGGACATTCAGCTTGACATTCAAACATGCCTGTATGGTAAACCTTTCTGCAATTCGAATGAATTACAGCAATGTGAAAGAGAAGTGGACTAAGCTCCATTTTGCTGTGGCATGGCTGTAGTTTCTGGATGACTATATGTCCCCATCTAATCTATTATTCTTTGCTGGAGACTTACCCTTGAGGATGCCCGAAAAAACTTGAGACTGCAAAAGATAACAAGAGTTATATTTAAAAAGGAAAACTCTAAAATGGAATTTTAACCACATCAGTCTGACGTTCTATTCTATCCAACATTTTTTATGGCGTTATTTATTGTCCTTTCCCTCATATACATATATATATATATAAATATATATTTTGGGTGAAATTTCCCTCATATTTTATAACTATAAGTTTGTAACATTTAACTTCGTAATTATCAGCATAAAATTCTGTATGGGAGTCTATTATTCTTTTTCTCCCTTGTAGTTTTGCTTTGTTTTGTTTAATTTCTTTTAACTTTGAATTTATATTTGCAGACCACCACAACTTTGAAGCAGTTCAAGGATATGAGATCTTTGTGCCTGAAAATTGTTTCATTTGTGCTTAACAAGTATGAAGATCATGAATTTGGTTCTGATTTGTGGGACTTTTTCTTTGCCTCAGTAAAACCTTTGATTGATAGATTCAAGCAGGAAGCTGCTAGTAGTGAGAAACCGAGTTCGCTCTTCTCTTGCTTTTTGGCCATGGGTAGAAACAATAATCTTGTGGCTTTATTATGCCGGGAAGAGAGTCTTGTTTCTGATATATATTCAATTCTCCGTGTCAAATCAGCTTCTGAGGCAGTTATAGTTTGTGTTCTAAAGTTTGTTAATAACTTGTTGAACCTTGACAATGAATTGGATGATGAAGAAAATCCTGCGCAAAGAGTTTTGCATTCCAACATTGTGGGACTTGTAGACAGCTTGTGTTTTCTATTTGGAAACGATACTGCAGCCAAGAGGTATGAGCTTGTCTTACTGATGTGCCTGTGTAGCGAATTTTAAATATATCTGCTATTACACATTGCTTCCATTATCTGTTCTAAATATGTATACAGCTGAAATTTCTGGATGTTTTATTATTATCTAAGTTTGTGAGATCATATATCCTGCCATTTTGTGTGAAATCAAGTTCCTGTGTTATGGATAGTGCATGGTCTTTGTAGTTGAATTTGCACTCGAGGTTAAATATTTGAGATGTAGAGAGGAATTATTTCCTAAAAGCTTGGCCAATGATAAAACATAATGGTGTTGTGCAATCTACGTAGCCTATCTCACCTGGTAGGATAAGGCTTGTTGTTGTTGTTCTAGTTAGAGAGGGAATATAATATCCCTTGATTACTATATTTTCAAAGCTTTAACTGTAAATGATCATTTACTCTTCCTGATAAGATTGCAAAGGGGAAAAACAACAAAAAAATATTTAGGAAATGTATGAACATGAAACTAATTGTATTAATAATTAACAGATATAATGTCCTTTGATTGCACTGGTTCCATATTGTGTTGCAAAGAAACAGTTTCCATATAATCATTAAAAAAAAAATCAGATGAGAGAATTGGACTTGGAAGTTGAAACTCAGTTCCCCACCCCCCTGTTTTTAATGCCAGAAAGCTGGTCAAATCTCCTGGGGAGATGGTGATAAACATTTTAAAATTTTTACCAAAGTACATCAAGGATGCGGATCTGGCAAGGCATTTTGTAGATATTTTGCTTCTGTTCATCGAGAAGAAATCCCTTACTTCTGGTGAGTGCCTGTCATATATTCCCTGGTTTTTTCTTCCCCCAGACTGGATTGCTGCTATGATATTGAAATTCTATTTTTTGTTGTAGATGCCTGTGCTGAGGTTTTGCAAGTCATTCAAAATTTCATACCAATACTAGGAAATGGTTGTGCTACTAAGATTCTGAATGCTATCTGTCCTTTATATGTTTTGGCGGAGCTGGATATGCGGTTGAGGGTCTGTGATCTTCTTGATACACTTGCAGCATCTGATATGTCTATTCTCTTAGTGGTAAATTTTGCCCCTGTCATTTTGTCTGACAGAACTCTATACCTTGTGTATTTCTGTAATACTCTGCTATTTTGATGCAATGCAGGCAAAACTTCTTCGCCAGCTGAATGCAACAGCTTCTTCGATGGGTTGGCTTAATCATGATGCAATTCTTGAGGCTTATGAAAGCATTAATTCTGACTTCTTCAGAAAAGTTGAGGCTGATCACGCATTACTTGTTTTGTCCCATTGTGTGCATGACATGTCATCTAAAGAACTGACGTTTGTGGTTAGCGCCTGTAGTTCATTGTTGTCCTTTGTTGATTTTTCTGCCCTGATCTTTAATAAAGAAGGAAACAGTGATGGAGAGTTGTCTGTGATGAGAGACACTGATGGTTGTTGGACAAGATCATGCATCCAACGTATCACAAACAAATTTCTTTTGAAGCATATGGCTGATTCAATGGATGGAGTACTTTCTGTTAGGAAGGTATTCTGTGTTCTTAATTTTATTCATTTTTATCAAAATATTATAAACTTGTGCGATATAGATTTTCAAAGTGATATGAAGTTAGATATGTAGGTGCATATGTCAGCAAAACTTTTGCTTCTCTCCTCTTTATCGTCATAGTGGTTCTTACCTACCCTTCTTAGTTCCATCCATTGTGAGATAGGGTGATTAGACCACTCACACTCAATTATATCTTGATTACATTCTTGTATTTGTTTTGTTTAATTGTTCACATTGAAATAACCAATGCATTATCACTTAATCCTCTATTTTTGTGCTTTGGCCAAAAAAATCCTGTTGCAGGGATGGATAAAATTGTTGCGTCAAATGGTCTTGAAGCTTCCAGAAGTGTCAAACTTTAAATCGCTTGTGGCTCTGTGCAGTGAAGATGAAGAAGTAGATTTTTTCAATAACATTGTTGACTCAAAGGTATGTGATAGGACCCGAGATAGGTAGAGAGAAATATGAAATTAGAATTTAACTTTATATATTAATAAAAGAACAAAGAATTGATAGAAGAAAATAGGAAGAGTAATTCTATTCAGATAATATAGAACACGAATCTCACGTTATATTTTTTTTCAATTGCCACATTTAGGAGAATCTTCAAAGGACTCAAAAGTCTGTTTTATTCATGATATGCTAGCTTTTAAGTTCCTAAACATATTTATAATGCTAAATGTAATCCAAAATAATTGAATATATGAATAAAATCTAAATAACTAGATATCTAGATAAATATCTGCATATTTGAATAAATATCTAAATAAAATCTAAATAATACTACTAAATATAAAATAACTAAAATGAATTAAAAATAATATTTATTCCTAATATTTCTTTAATTCCCCAAATCACTCATTATCCCACTTTAATCAGGACTCTATTAGTTTGTTTCTGTAAAAATGTGCCTTTTTCATGGTTGGCGCTCTTATATCCTTGCTTTTATTTGTTTATATAGGCTTGGAGTTTTCCATTTCCAAATACATTAAGCTGCACTCTGTATTTGGAGCTCCTATTTACCTTGCATTCAATTTTTTAGCAGACTGCATTCATTTGTTTGCATCGGATGGAATGTTTTTGCTTCCAAACATGCGCGTTTAACAAACCTTTTTTCAAGCCTAAATTATTCCTTGTTTTTTGCCTTTGGCATGAGTATCCCCTGTAATGCTTATTTCTTCATTCTTTCAAACTGTTTTACTTGTTATTCAGTTATTATTTTATATATTTTCATAGGTCTTTAAAATGATGCTACATTTCTTAAATCATTTCATTTGATACTGCAGATGCATAGGAGAGTAAGGGCTTTGTCACGGTTTAGAAATATTATCAGTATGAACAAGATGTCTGAGGTAATGACTTTGTGCTATTATATGGATAAATAGTTTTCTAGCATTGAATATAATGTATCATTGGTTTATTCTAGGGTATCATCAAGAAAGTGTTTTTGCCTCTCTTCTTCAACATGTTGTTTGATGAACAAGAAGGAAAGGCTGAACATATGAAAAATGCATGTATAGAGACCATAGCTTCTGTGGCTGGTCAAATGGAGTGGAAGTCATACTATGCCTTATTGAACAGATGCTTTCGGGGGATGTCCAGCAGTCCAGACAAGCAGAAAGTGTTTATTCGGCTGATATGCTCTATTTTGGACAGATATCATTTTTCAGAAATCTCTCACCCTAAAGAACCATCATTGGGCTCTGATTCTGATTTTGGGACTGCTGTCACTTCTTCGTCTGCTGCCTCAGGTGACTCTGGTAATTCTGTTGTGGACAGAGAGATACAGGCTTGCCTGTCTGAAGTTGTTTTCCCAAAGATACAAAAGCTTATAAATTCTGATTCAGAAAAGATCAATGTGAATATCAGTCTTGCAGCATTGAAACTACTTAAGTTGCTTCCAGCAGATGTAATGGATTTGCATCTTTCAAGTATTGTTCATCGAATTTCAAACTTCTTAAAGAGTCATCTAGAGAGCATTCGTGATGAAGCTAGGTCTGCATTGGCAACGTGTTTGAAAGAGCTTGGATTGGAATACTTGCAATTCATTGTAAAAGTTTTGCAAGCTACCTTGAAGAGAGGATATGAACTTCATGTGTTAGGTTACACACTCAATTTTATTTTATCTAAGTGTCTTTTGAATCCAGTGAATGGAAAGTTAGATTACTGTTTGGAAGATCTTCTTTATGTGATTGAGATGGACATTCTTGGAGATGTTGCTGAAGAAAAGGAAGTGGAAAAGATAGCTTCAAAGATGAAAGAAACCAGGAGGAAAAAGTCATTTGAAACCTTGAAATTGATAGCCCAAAACGTTACATTCAAAAGCAATGCATTGAAGCTTCTTGCACCAGTGACAGCTCAAACGCAGAATAACATCACACCAAAAGTAAAATCAAAGTTGGAAAATATGCTGCAGCATATTGCTACTGGTATTGAATGCAATCCATCCGTAGATGAGACTGATTTGTTTATTTTTATTTATGGCCTTGTTGAAGACGGGATTAAAGGTGAAATTTGTAAGCCTGGAAATAAATCAATTAACATGGTTGATAAGCCTTGTATTGATTCTAATAAAAAGTCTACAAGCCGTGGAGTTGAATTTGGCTCATTATGCTCGCATCTTATTAGGGTGTTTGCTCTCAGAATATTGCATAAACATATGAAAGGTATGAAACAGGATATGAAAGATGCAAATATTCTATCTTTACTAGATCCTTTTGTCAGGATACTGAGTGAGTGCCTGTGCTCCAAGTATGAGGATATTTTGTCTGCTTCCCTTGGATGTCTTACACTATTGGTAAGGTTGCCCTTGCCATCCCTTGAATCCCAAGCTGAAAGACTAAAGGCTGCCCTTTTGAACATAGCACACACTACAGTGAACTCTAGTAGTCCTTTAATGCAGTCATGTTTGACGTTGCTGACTGTGCTTTTGCGGAGCACCAAAATCACACTTACGTCAGATCAGCTACACCATCTAATTCAGCTTCCATTGTTTGTTGATCTTGAAAGGAATCAATCTCCTGTGGCCCTTTCACTCCTTAAGGGTATTGTCAATCGCAGGCTTGTTGTACCTGAAATTTATGATCTTATTACCAGGGTTGCTGAATTGATGGTGACAAGTCAATTGGAATCAATTCGCAAGAAGTGCAGTAAGATTTTGTTGCAATTTCTGCTTGATTATCGTCTTGCAGGAAAACGCTTGCAACAACATCTAGATTCCCTTCTTGCAAACCTAAGGCAAGTGATCTAGAATAGCCAATGTGAAGGTTGGTTATTGTAGCTATTTTGTCCCTGTATTTTGTATGGTTATGAATATTTTAATCTTTACAGGTATGAGTATTCAACGGGACGGAAATCTGTTCTTGAAATGATTCATGCTGTCATAGTCAAATTTCCAAGAAGTGTTTTGGATGAGCAATCACAGACATTATTTGTCCATTTAGTGGCCTGCTTGGCCAATGACAATGATAATTCTGTTCGTTCTATGAGTGGGGCTGCTATAAAGGAGCTCATTGGTTCAATAAGCCCAAATTCATTAAACTCCATACTTGAGTATGCTTTATCTTGGTATTTGGGCGAGAAGCAGCAACTTTGGGGTGCAGCTGCACAGGTAATATCCTCATAATTATATTGTGTTAGGTGCTCAAAATAACAAAAGAAAATAAGAGAAACAAATTTAAGATGATATAGAACAAGAATCTCGTTCTATATTTCTCTCAATAGCTACGTTTAGGAGAATTTTTAAAGGGTTTAAAAGACTATTTTATTCATGATATGCTAGTTTCTAAGATGCTAGGCATTTTTATAAAGTCAAATACAATTGAAATCTAGATAATTAGATAATTAAAATCTAAATTAATTCTAAAGAATTAAATATCTAAATAAAATCTCCTGAAACCTATCCTAAATAATATCCAGATTCAAATCAAATAATAACAAAAAAATAAAATCAGATTTAATTTATTTATTTTTTGGTTGCTTCCTTCTTGAATAAGGGAATCTTATCATATTGTCAATCATTACCCAGAAAAAACAAAAAACAAAAAACACCCATTCACCTTATGTTTCTCTGGTATGTAAGAATCAGATGCATTAGGTGTTAGGAGCAACTGGGGAGGATTTAGGGATGCTTTCTAGGTAACTTGTAGTTCACTTATAACTGAAGGGTGTAAGTGTCTTTTTTGTTCTCATCGAATTCATATAATAGGTAGAGGGGTTTTGTTTTATGTACACTCCCATTGTCTTTCAAAAACTGCTGTACTGCTTTATTGGACAGACCTATTTTGCTTTAAACCTATTGGTGTGCAGTTTAATTGTAAATTCTTTTCTGGTTTGTCTGAAAAGCTTTTATTTTTGCACATATTTCTATATGTTCTTGAGTTTATCATGTATAATGACATCTGAATATGTGGGTACAGGTTTTGGGGCTGCTGATTGAGATATTGAAGAAAGGATTTTATAGACATGTTAATTGTATCTTACCAGTGACTCATCGCATCTTGCAGTCTTCCATAGATGTAATCACTGATAGGGAGGTTGACTTTGCGGATTCTATTATTCCTCATTGGAAGGAAGCATACTATTCTTTAGTTATGTTAGAGAAGCTGATTCATCAGTTCCGTGAGTTATGCTTTGCTGGGGATCTTGAGGTAAATCACTCATCAGCAATTTTTTAATGGATATGAGGATGTATATAATAAATAGTTTACCCAAAAAAAAAAGGATGTACATAATAGTATGCATAAATGCGCTCATTTCAATGTTGTAGTTAAAATTCCCTTTTCCTTTCTTTTCCCTTTATTCCCTTCAATTCAAATATACCCTTAGTTGTCACTGTCATTGCTTTTAATTTTGTTCCTTTTGGAACTTCCCCCCTTTAAAATGAAGCCAGTTTCTTAAAAGGCTTTGCCATGGGGAAGCAACATTTGATACACATTTTGATTAGTCTCGTTACTGTTTAGCTCATCTTTTAATTTAAAAAGGTATGTTTCTCCTTTTAAATAACTAATAAAAACATATTTAGAAGAAAGATAATTCTTTTTTAAGAGAAAAATTTTTAGCTGGTTGTCGGAAAGAAAATCAGTTTCTGTTTCAAAGTCAAAACTCCAAATTCCTGGTCCTCTCACTTGATTTTTTCTTTTTTTTTTTTTTATAACTTAAAAGCAGTTTGTCTTGGCCGAACACAAATTAGTAATAAACTGGCTTTTAAAAAAATTAGCTGTATTTTTCTTTTTCACAATTATGCCAAATAGGCTCTGTTTATGTTTCTCACGTGTAAGTGGACAAATTTCAGGTTATATGGGATGCGATATGTCAGATGCTTTTGCACCCACATTCATGGATACGCAACAGATCGGTCCACCTTATAGCCCAATACTTCACACATGTAGTTGATGCTTGCAAAGAACATCAGAAGTCTCTGGCAAATTATTATCTTATGAGTCCTAGTAATCTATTTCATGTAGCTGCTTCACTTTGCTGCCAACTTAAAACTCCACCCATGGATGATACCGATGCCAACCTGATGAACCAAAGTATCGTCTTTGCCATTTGCGGGGTCCATTCTGTAATGGGACTAATTTCACCTGTAGATCCTGCTGCATTCTGGTCTGCTCTTGAGCAGCACGAGAAGGACCGGTTCCTTAAAGCTTTTGACTTGCTTGATTCAAGGAAGGGAAGAAACTTGTTCTTACTTCATACATCTTCTGTACATGAACAAAACAACCAGCAGAGTGCAGATAATCTCCAACATGTTCTTGTCTCAGTACTGCTCAGGAAAATGGGGAAGATTGCCTTTCAAATGGAAACTTACCGGGTATGTATGCAAGTTATGCGAAGTCCCCCCTCCTTTTTTGTGTATAACCTTTCTCTTGACAAATATGCCCAATAGCTGAAGTATTTGATTTTTGAGCGCAGATGGGAATAGTCTTCAACATTTTTAAAAGTGTAATGTCACAGATTAGTCAGGATGACGTTCTGCATTATGCATCTGAAGTCTTACTACCTCTGTATAAGGTCTGCGAAGGATTTGCTGGGAAAGTAATCCCTGGTAAGTTCCTTTCTTGTCTTCTTTTATTCAATCTGGAAAAGTAGGGAAATAACCAAAATTTGATTGTTTCTACGTATATTTTTCTATTTTCTGCGCGCCAGACTCCCACTTTCAGCTGAAGTGGTTCTGAGTTTATCTTTTATGGAAATGAGCAATGCATCTGGAGTGCAGGCATGCTCGGTCGGGAATTTTTCAGTTAGAAAAAGAGAATCACTATTTATGAATCCCTGTGTCTTTGTTTGTTATGCATTATACAACAGGAAGAAGCCTTATGCTATTAGATGGGATCAGCTACATGAATTGCATTACACCATTGTGCTCTATCAACAACTAAGCTTTTAGGATAACATATTTAATTGATTAATTGTATGCCCATTACCAGATAATGTGAAACAGTTAGCGGAAGAAAGCCTTGAGAAAGTGCAGAACATTCTGGGGACCCAGAACTTTGTGCAGGTGTACAACCTTATTGGGAAGAAGCTAAAGGCAAAGAGAGATAAGAAGAAACAAGAAGAAAAGATCATGGCTGTCATCAATCCAATGCGAAATGCCAAGCGCAAGATGAGAATTTCTGCCAAGAATCGTGCCAATAAAAAGAGAAAGATTTTGACTTTGAAAATGGCTAGATGGATGCATTAATTGATCTCAACTTCAAGATCCATATTCTTTTGCAGGTCAACTGCAGCTTCCCATTTCAGCGTAATGCCAGTTGCATGTTTTTTTTTTTTTTGACCAAAATGCTAGTTGCATGTTTAAGCGATGGTTTTTTTTAGAATAATTCTTATGATTCTATTATTGTATATTTTATTATTTTCGATCATTTTTTGGATGTTGAGCACTGTATAATACCGTTTGCGGCTATTAATGTAACCTTGGCGTTCGGTTTTCAGTGCTGATGAGCAATTTAGACTATTCAATTTTTTGATATGCACGGTTCATATTTATCGGTTTTATTTTATATTTATTAAAATAAAAATTATAAAATTTTAATAAATTTACCTTATGATCAATCTAAACAATGTATATTATCTAGATAATTTAATTTAATATTATTTTTTAAAATTTTTATAAATTGACTATTTAGATATACTCTGGTTAGTTTATGTTTAAAGTTTTTAAATTATAATTTTTAAAAATTTTTAAACTGTCAGTTTGAAGATTATCTTTATTTTTTAATTTTAATATTATATTTATTAAATTAAAAATCTAAAAATAGTTAATTTAAAAAAATTAATATTAAATTGAATTATTCAAATTAAATTTTCATTGTTCATGTTAATGATAAGATGGATTTATTAAATTTTTATAATTTTTTCTATTAAATATTAAATAAAAATAGAAAAATAAAATTTATAAATGTGGATCATTTAGATTTTCTATTTGGACGGTCCAAATGCCTAACCAAAATCAGACGCTGTGCCTTGAGCATTTCATCAAATATGAAATGAAATTTCTCTTGTTGGTTTTGTGAAAAACATTCATCCATAATCACTTGATATACGTGTGAGAATTTCGCAGATGCAATTGAGAGTTTCTCGCTTCTAGACTTCATTATTACTTGTACAACTGGGAACTATTTGATGCAATGCATGGGAGGAATAAGCCATTGAGGAAATACGAATCTAAAGTTGACAATAATGATATAGATTAGATTGAATTAGTCAGTCGCATGCTTCATCAAATTTATCAAGGAATGTTTGATTTCACTAGTCGAGAGAGCTGAATTAATTTATCTTAAAATTTTTAATTTGAGTTGCAGATATGCAATAGTATTAAATAAATATATCAAAAGCATTCCGGAAATATGCCATTAATAATAATGATGCCACACAATGAAAATTTGGATTAATTTGAGCAAGAGGTAATGATACCTTTCTAACAATATGCAACTCCTTAACCCGGGGAGGGGGGGGAGTCCACATGATTTTCCTAATTGTCTTGTTTAACTGCATTTACTTGTAAAAGATAAAACCCAACATCTCTAACCAAAAAAAGTAATAAGTCTCCAATAAAATATTCTAAAAACATTAACATGAGTCTAGTGGAAGGAGTTTAATTTTCTAATAAAAAATGTGCTTACATTTACCTCTCACATTTAGTCCTGATCACAATTTAATTAGGATTGCATTCAATAAAAATATGTGTGCATAATAAACAAATATTACAGGATAAGCCAGTCAACATGTTAAATATTTGATTCTATTAATGGTCTTGTTCTAGTTGTTGGCACTCCTGTGTTTTTGCTCGTATTCTCTACCCCCTTAGCCCAAATCCTAATGATAAACTACAATCTTACATCACATCTTCGAGGCCTTTAAATAGAAGATCAATGGATAACAAGTTATTTGACCTTTTTCCCTCTCTTCATTCTTTTATCTTTTCTCCACTTTCATTTTTACTAAACATGAAAAAAGTTGTTCTCTTTTCAATTTTCAAGCTTAGCGTGGTGACCTGAGCATTGAAGAGAAACAATCTCACAATCGAGAGTGTTGAAAGCGCATTTAATCACTTTAATTTTACAGATTTTTTTATTTAATTCTTTGATTCTAAATTCAATTATCTTATTTGATATTATTAAAAATCCATCGTTTGGCATAGTAACTAAAAATTTGCCATACGTCACAAACACATTAAAAATGTTTCATATATATCTTTTGAACAATAAGAGAGATTTGTAGAATAATTAAACAACACACCCCCCCCCCCACCCTTTTAAATGTAATTTTACATATTGTTTTGATTTAGATTAGATTAGACATGTACGAATCGACAAGGATGAGAGGAAAATCCGGATATCAAATGATCAATATCATATTAAAATGTGGAATTATTTGAGAAAATACTCCAATTTTCGACAGGGATATCAAACGGGAATATCCTATGAAATTGATAATATCATAGCATACATCTTCATTTTATTTATTTATTACTGAAGATATGATGGTTACGTGGTGGCATCATGTGTTTCATGAATTCAATTATCACACGGCAATTCAAGGCCCACGCAACGTGGATTATTAAATGTAATGTATTTGGTCGTCCTGCATTATATTGCCCTTTCAAAATTATTTGATCTCCACGTAACTTTTCTATTATTCTTTTTAAAAAAAAAATTACAACAAAGGACATGAAAAAAAATATTATTGGAGAGAATCTTGGAAATAAAAATTGTTTAGAAGAATCAAGTACTAAAATATAAATTTAAAAATACTGTATTGCCGCTAATCAAATCGCTTATATTTTTTTAACATCTTACATGTATTTAATAGTTACTAACAAAAACACATTATTTTTTATGAAACTATTTCTTCTTCTTCTTAATAATAAAGAGATGAAAAACAGAAAACTAAAACAAACTTAAATTAATGTCCAAAAATCCGCAGCCAGCTTATAATCTAATCTCTCTTGAAAATCTGTAAATTCATTGATTAAGGCAGGACGTTGTTAACAAAATGTAACAATTATTTAAAAGAAATATTTTTTTAAATTATATTGGTTCAATTTTTAAAAATAAATATTTTAAAATTATATTGATTCAATTATTTAAAAGTAAAGATTTTTTCAAAAAATTATGTTTATTTAATTAAATTTAATACAACTTTTTTATGTGAAATTAAAAGCTGCACAATCTTATTTCTAAAAGAGTGCTCTTGTAACTTGTGCAATACCCCATATTAATTTTAAGATATATTGTTGACAAATTTATAATAAGGGTTACAATAGTCAATTATACTTACCTTAGTCTTTCATCCTAATTTTGATTTTTATAAAAACAAATCTTAATAGTATTACATCCCTCTTCATAATTTTTCCTTTTTTTTGTTTTTGCCCCTTCTAGTGATCCATTAAACTTCCTTTCTTTGGATGCTGTCATGGGATGGATTTGCATTCATGATGAGGATTGCCTGCTCATTAGCTCAAAAGCTTATCTGCACCTTTTATTTTATTCCAATAAAATATGTACCATTCATTTTATTTTTTTTATAATTTTTATTTTAATAAATATAATATAAAAATATTTTAAAAAATAAAATCTAAAATAAATAGTAAAAATCATTTTGGGATAAAATGAAGAGTGTAAATCAGCTGTTAAGCTGATCAGCACCGAATGCAAGCGCATCATAGTATGCTTGTGTGCCTTTCAGTTTTAGAAGTTAATTTTATTTTAACTAATAGGTTAAATATTATGGTTTGGAATTACTAATTAGGAATAAAACAACAACAACAATGACAACAAATTATTTGAAATATTTACTGCATTTTTATGGTATTGAGTTGTCTACATTTTTTTGATTGTTTACCGATAAAATAATATCAAATTGATGATTAAATCATGCCCTTTTTTTTGTTGAAATATAGCCTATCAATTTGATCCATCGTGCATTATATATAATCAAATAAACAGACAAAATTTTGGACCCACAAATAAATAAAAATGGATAATATAATTACAAAAATAAAGGATATCGATAACTGCCGAGTAGATATGATGACAAGAGAGAAAAAACCGGACTCAACATTACTCAGAGAGTCAAGAGTCCCTTTCTTTGCATTTTCTGAGAGTGAGATGCCGAAACCAACGGTCCAGATTGCGCATGATCCTCGTCCGAAACCGTTGACAGCAGCTGGCAACAGGAGAACCGTCAATGAAAGCAACGGCTGAGATCGAAACTGAGAGATAATATATGAAAGGGAAAAAGCAGCAAATCAGGATCCGCGGAAAACATGTTAAATTGTGGCTGTATTTTCCCATTCGTTCGTGGGATGCAAATGTAACGGACTTACCGTTGCGTCTTGCTCCCACCTCTGCGTTTCTCCTTGCGCCCACCCTCCACCATCCTCCTTGCCCTTCTCCATTCTCCGAGTGTCCTTCGTTCTTCCTCTGCCTCCTCACAACACCCTCCTGAAGAACCCTACTCCTCCAATTCCCGATTCGCAAATGCTTTTTTATCTTCCTTTCGGCTAACTGTTTCTCGCTTGATACCCCTTTGCAGGGTGCCAAGAAGGTATGCTCTGTTTCTCTTTTCTGAAAAAAATTGTTTTTCACTTTCTGAATTCTGACTTTTCGTTTGCGTGCCATGTTTCAAGAACTTTGACGGCTCATCTTGGCGCTGCCCTGCAATCTTCGGTTTAGATTCTTTGGGTGCTTTCGTTCTTCTTTCGTAATATATGGGGATATCGTCTGACAACGTAAAAGGGCTTGTTCTTGCTGTGTCTTCTAGTGTTTTCATTGGGTCTAGCTTCATTATAAAAAAGAAGGGTCTCCAAAGGGCTGGGAATACGGGGAACAGAGCAGGTTCACCTCCTCTTTTTTTTTTTTTTTTCTTGCTTTTTGTTAATTATCTTTTTTATTTTCTTGCTTTATTTTCCAAACTTCAAAATTTTCCCTCATTTCCCGTTATTTGGTGCTTTGTAATATGATCAGCCTCCGGAGGTCATGCATACCTGTTTGAACCATGGTGGTGGATGGGAATGATCACGAGTAAGTGATTTTTGATTGTCACTCGTTTTTACAGAATTTTATTGGTATATCATGCAGCATTGCACAATGTAAGGTGGTATTTCTGCAATTTCCAATTAACAAGTTCTATTATAAACAGTCTTCATTCTTACTTTCTTCCCCTTTCTTTTCTCTTACTTGCAAATGTTTCAAATGGTGCCGTTGTTCTCCTGTTTCCAATTCCTTGCATGCCCAAAATTCAAGGATAGAAAAATTCCACTTTATATAATATTAAGTTCAAAATGAGTGCACTGCAATCTTTTTCACTTGTGGCCCTGTGGGGAAGGATTGGAGTTATAGAAACAGTGCAGTCCTTTAAACTTCTACTTCTCTGACAGAAGCCGTACGTGGGAAGATGATTATTTCTATTATTTCTTATATAGTGAATTTCTCCAACTTTTTGTGGGGCATGGATTATATCTGATAACGTTCTGTTCTTTAAATTCCTAATCTGATTCTAAAATAAAATCAGAATAATTGATCTTTTTGTTTAGACTTTAGGTGTTCAGGTGTTGTTCTTTTACTTCGCTGATAGGGAATTGAGCGATGCAGTGTGAAAGAGTTCGTATGCTGCATTACCTCGACTCTGTTTCTTTTTCCCCCTTACAACGTTATACACGAAGAAGACTATTGATATACACAACATCAAACTTTGGTACTTGTCGATGCCATATGGATCGGAGAGATTAGGTTCTGGAATCTTAACCCTTCGATGATCTAGCTATGAATTATAAATTTCCAATCCGTTCCAACTGCTCACATAAAGTATTGTTTTGCGGTACCATGCACTTCTGTTTGTGCTCAAAGGTGGAAAACTGGGATCGTTGCGTGTTTGTGTTTTATTGTCAATGGAAAAGATCCCCACACCTTTCAAAGTGCTAATTGTTATCAGAACGCCCCAGCAAGTGCTATCTCCTGGCTATTTTTATTTCGCTTGCTCCTTCATAGTGTATACGCTCCAAATATTTTTCATGGAAGGTCCTTTTCTTCTGAGCCATGAAGCACTGATGCACAGGATATTCGAAGGAGTAATTCTATGCATGATGCTAAATTTTGTGCTTATGTTATTTGTAGTGATATTTGGGGAAATCGCCAACTTTGCGGCTTATGCATTTGCTCCTGCTATACTTGTAACTCCTTTAGGAGCTTTAAGCATCATTTTCAGGTAACCAAGAGCATTCTTCACAAAGTAAACTCTTAAGGACTTTTTTTTATATTGTCTTTGACCCATTATGGATGTGCATTTCATTACCTTCAATTTGGGTGCACACATGAAAAGGAAAAATATTACAGACTCATATCATGATGCGCAGTGCAGTGCTAGCTCATTTTATCCTCCGTGAGAAATTGCACGTGTTTGGTCAGCTTGGATGTGTTCTGTGTATGGTGGGCTCTACAACTATTGTTTTGCATGCACCGCATGAGAGAAACATTCATTCTGTTAAGGAAGTGTGGGAACTTGCCACAGAACCGGGTATATTCTGTGCCTATTTTTGTTTTAACAATTTTTTTTCCATTAATTAACAAAATCAGTTGGGTCCTTATATGTTTATTTTATGCTAAATCTACCTAACGGTGAGAGTTATTCGTATAAACAGGCTTTCTTGTCTACACTATTGCTGTTGTGATTGCCGTCTGTGTCCTTATTTTCTGGTACGTACCACGTCACGGGCAGACGCATATGATCATTTATGTCGGAATATGTTCTCTCGTCGGCTCTCTCACGGTAGGAATTAATTCTATTTCTGAAGCTCACGTGTCATATCCGCTGCTAGAAAACCTATCCTCTGATCTACATACCAAAATATGTCCCTTTGTTTTAATTTGTGCAGGTTATGGGTGTGAAGGCTGTAGGCATAGCATTGAAGCTTTCATTTGAAGGGATGAATCAATTCAAATACTTTGAGACCTGGTTCTTCACCGTGGTTGTAATAGGATGTTGCCTTTTGCAGATTAATTACTTGAACAAGGTTAGATGCATTATACATATCTTAATTAATTAATTCACTACTGTTGATTGTCATTATAATAGTTGACAATTGATAATGCCAAGTAGATGCAAGATCAGTAGAATGCTAGCTAGAATAAAGATTTGATGTTTTTTAATTTTATTTTTGCAGGCTTTGGACACTTTTAACACTGCTGTCGTATCACCAGTCTACTATGTGATGTTTACAACATTTACAATAGTAGCCAGCGTGATCATGTTCAAGGTGCTTAATGCTTATTACTCTTATATGGTTCCGGATTTCTTTATCATTTCCCTCTTATGGAGAACAAATTAATTGCGAAAACATGCAGTTCATTCTGAGATGTGTTATTACCAAATAATATGCTGTTTGATGCAGGAGTGGGACTCACAAAATGCATCTCAGATAGCAACAGAGTTGTGTGGTTTTGTAACAATTTTAGGGGGGACCTTCCTTCTTCACAAAACCAAAGATATGGGTTCGAAGCCGACGGAACCCAATAGTCCCGCTGCAAGTCGAGCCGCTCCGTACGAATCTTTCACGTGAGCTGAGATAGATAGCCGAGAGAGGGCGTGTGCCTGCGCGTGTGTGTTTTTGAGTCAATGTTTCACATAAACCAGCAGCAGCAGCAGCAGCAGGTAGTGTTGATAGAAAAGAAATCTGATGGCTTTTAAAGGAATGAAACTTCAGTGTGGCGGGGACAACACAAGAGGGCACCTTGTTCTCTGGTTTTTAAATGAACAGGGAAAGGCACACATTTCAAGTTCTTGTGCAAGACTTCAGCGTCTGTTTCACACAAACCTAGCGTTTTTAGGGACATCAATCATAACGTGTCATTTAGCTCTCTGCCTTTCCTTATTCTTCTTCTTTTCAGTGGATTTGAATTGGAACTGGCAGCACCCCAGTGCCCACTGCCCAATGCACCAGCGGCTGAATTTTTTTTTTTTTTAACCCACTTTGTTTTAAAGAAACAGAGAAATTTATGAAGCACAACAAATGGTTTTACATTTTGCCTATGTTTTACTTTGGAGACTCACTAGAAGCGAGCTGGTGCAGCTTTTTTTTTTTTTTTTTAAATTAAGATAGACGAGTTTTTAAACTCACACTTTATATATAATTATTGATTATTCATTATTCATTTATTGATAAGAAAAAAGAAACAAAGTGGAAGGTGTGGATAAAACTATGATATAAGATCAATAAATTGACATCATTTCCTCACGTAGAGAGGAGACTAAAGTTACCTGACATACTGTACAACTTGAGAGTCTATTGACTTATTGACAATTAATGTGTTTATCCTAATTATTTTCTTAAAAGACCCTTTACAATCACTCTTTTTTCCATGGCAATTATAAAAAAAGCGTGTGTAGGAATTGGGAAATGAGGGTAAAAATGTGGCGTTGGATGGGATTAAAGTTGCAATGATTTTCTGAAAGGACGCATATTTTGATACAGCAGAGGGACAGTGGACAAATATTGTGGAGTGAAGGAAATATGATTTAAAATAATTTATGAAAATTGGAAACTGATATTTAAAATGATGTTAAATGTCAATATATTGAGATTCTCAACATTATCTAGGATTATTTATTGGATTCGCCGTTTCAAATGATTTGAATTCACAACAAATGTATGAAAGTAATTTGGAATTATGAACTGCTGGAAAATTGAAGCTTTAAAATGGATAAACGAAATAAAGGAGTTGAGTCATTACTGGCTTAATGGTTCATTGTTATTACAACAGAAGGCGACATCAGAATCGATCCCGCGCCATCATATGATCAGTCCAACAGAGATCCACAAAAATCAGCCACTCCAACGGCGCAGGAGAATGCGTCACCATAGCATTAGTTTTATTATTTCAACTAGATAAATGACAGAATGACGCTTTTTCTGAAAAAAAAATTAGTTCCGCCCTCTCTTCTGCGATCCTGATTCCTGCGGTAACCTGCATCAATTTCTCTCAAAAATCTCCTCCGATTTCCCCCTAGAAAGTCACTCTACAGCACTTCCACTACTCCTGCATCTTACTTCAATCGTCACTCGAGGCTTCTTTTGATTTCAATTCACCATCACAAAAGGTAAGTGCTATCCATCTGATGCGGTTGTAGGTCGTACTGCTTGCTTGAGTTGTAGGGGGCTCATGTTTAAAATTCAATATCCGATAAGCCAGTGATCTTCGAGGAGCATACCGGGGTCGGTTCCCGATGATGCCTCCAAGAAGAAAGAAATGGACCGAGGCTGAGGAAAAAACCCTAATTGATAAGTATGGCGATTTGGTTGCTGACGGAACACTCGCCAAGATGAAAACCCGTGAGAAAAAATTCAAACCCATTGCTTGTTATGTCAATTCGGTGCACCATCTTCGCGATCCCGTTGCCTATCCCTGGCAGTGGACTTGGAAGGATGTGTCCACTAAGGTCCAGAACATGAGGCACCAGTATTTGCTTGTTAAGCAAAAAATTAAGAAGCCTGAGTTTTCGTCTATGGAAAACTCTGGTGGGGATTCTAATGGGAATGAGTTTGATTGGGTGGAGGGTCTCACCCATTGGTCTAATTTCCTTAGGTATAAGGAGGTTTTTGGAGATGTGGCACTTGGTCATAGTAATAATAATGAGTTAATGGCTCTGGTGAATGGCGATCGTGAAAATGCAGCTGGGTTTCTGGGGCACAGTGGCACTATGGATATCATTGAGTTTGGCCAAATAGGCCATTCAGGGGAAGGGGACTTTACAGCGGGGATTGATGGGGTTGAGAATGAGGTAATGGGTTTGGGTTTTGATTATGATGCTGAAGAAGGAGAAGTGAATTACAATGGAAGTGATCGATTGAGGGAAGATGCAGATAATGGTTATCTGTATGAAGAAGTGGAACTGACTGGGTCTAGCTTAAAGAAGAAGAGAAAAGTGGTGAAGGGGTTGGAAAAGAAGGCATGGAGGATGCTTGCAAACCAACTTGGTCAATTGAGAGAAATGGAGGCTCGATTTGAGCAACGAGAGATAGACAGAGAGCGGGAGAGGCAGAGGAGGGAAAACTTCCGAATGGAGCTTGAGAAGCAATGGGAAAAGAAACTGGAAGAAAGAGAAAAGGAGAGGGAGGAGAGGGAAAAGGAAAGGAAGAATTTGAGGAGGCAGAGAATGTCTGAGTGGGAAGCTATAGAAGAGGAGAATGAAGTAATAGAAAGGAAAAGAAGAGAGGAAGAGTTAATATATGAAAGGGACTGGGAGGAGAGAATGAATAACAAAAGGTTAGAGTGGAAGAAGAGGATTGATGAGATTTTAAATCAGCACCGTGCAGAAATGGGCCAGATGCAAACGCGCATACTTCATGAACAGCAAAATCTTACTAGCCAATTACTTAGTATTTTCTCACAATGGACTGCCCAACCTGCTGGTTTATCTGATCATACTAGTGCTAACAACCATTATCTTTCACAGATGATGCAAAATTTGCATCATGTAAATGGTGTGGTTCACGGTGACACTAGAGTTGAGGGAGATAATCAAGAAGATCGGTTCATTGTTGATGGATAATGTATCTCCTCTGTTGCTTGCAGCTACACTTGGCTATCTAGGATCTTGAGTTCTGGTTAGAAGAAGAGGCCTAAAGTGCGCAAATTTGTTGAATGTATTATCAAGTTTATTCTTCCATTAGGGGAGATTGTACACATCTAATGTATCTTGTACCATCTTATATTGGCTTTCTAGTGATTCATACTTTTATTTTATGTAATTATCTTTGCTCTATATATTTAAAAAAAAAAAAGGTATTTTGTTCTCTGTTCGCATTTTCATATTCATTGAAAATTTCTTTAGCACTGAACCTGAAAATATGAGCATAAATGTCATTTTTGTTTGGCCTTTTAAAATGCTTCTGTACAATCTCTCTATTAGGCAACACCTCTAATGCATCTGTATATCCAAGAACGGATTTTTGTGAAATCCATTGTGTTTCTTCATATGTCAATCATTATGTTGCTTAAATTATAGCCAATAACATGTAAAGAGGGATCTTTTTTCATTTGGGGATGGTACATGATGGTCTGGAGGATGGAATTGGTAGTTCCAAAGTCGTTTGATCGTCTTAAGATTAGGACTCTTCTGCGTAAATGGGGAGCCAAGACGGAGTCATTAGTCATAGCTGTGGGGTTTTTGTTAGTTTTAATCATTTTGACGACAGTAAGATTGAGAAGTAAGTTTTTATTCATAGAACATATGTCTCTCTCAACTATCTTTTCAGTCTTGAAAATATACGATACATTCCAAGTCTTTGCTTGCTACTCATTAAATGGTCCCCTTAATTTGAATTTTTTCTTTATATTTTAGTTTTTATTTATCAGATCAATGTAATAATAGAAATTGATCGTTTGTATGGATTTGTAATCCAAACAAAACGGGAAAAGAATAGATATTACATTCTCTAATTTGGGAAGAAAACACGACAATAACAGCACACATGCATTGTTTCTTTTGCTTGGGTGCCTCAATCCTCTACGTGGTTTGACCCTCCTAAGCCTAATTTCATTTTGTTAATTGTGGGTCTGATCTGGTCTAAGAGGATGGTTCTTTATCTCTGGTTGATTTTGTCCCGCGCTTCACTTAGCATATAAGCTCTGAATGAGCTTAAATCATTAATCCTTTTTTGTGTTGAAGCAAATTCGGAAAGCTCGCTGTGCTTTAACCTTTGAAAATAAGGTGTACGACCCTCTTTCTATTACTCACTTTCTGCAAACTTATTGGGAATTTTATCTGGAAGCTAATGTGAAAACAGGTACTGGCCTTAATGCTCAAGAATCTGATGGTAGAACCACTGATGCTGATAATGCAGAATCCTATTGCCCTTCGGCTGTTCTAAGGAAACAACCTTGCCCTGATTGGCATAGCCTGATGCTAGTGGAGAATGTTATTCATCTTGGAGGATCGATAAGCACTTGTTGCTTCACCTGGATCCCAAGACACTTGATTGTTGCTGTGGACTGAAGTGCTCTAACAAGTTGGCTTCTATGCCCCCTTTCCATTTGGATGATATCCTAACTGGTGTTTATCTTCTGCAGGGATTTCTTGGTTTTGGGAGAATAAGATTTAAAGCCCTCCCAAAGAAATTTATCACAACAAGGGCTATAAGTTTTGTATTAAATATTGTCTTGTGAAAATACATATATGTTGTTAAAAACTGAAACTCGTCTTATGAAAGCACATAAGTATTATTGTTAAAAACTAAACCTTAACTATATTTTCATAAGACAATATCTGATATAACACTTATAGGTCTTTATAATAATAAATTTTTTTTGAGAGAGCCTTAAATGTTGTTTTTCTTTTTTCTTTTCTAGTTTTTGTTTTGTTGGAGCTTTGTTTTTGCTTATGATGTGCTCTGCCCTTTGATTAATGATATTCCTTGTTTTTGGCTAAAAAAAAAATTTTGTATACCAACAGGGAAGATAACATCATCAATTCAATGGCTATAAATTAGAATTGAGACAAACTGAGATAATCAAAACTCCATAATAACAAGTTATTAGTATCTCAAATTGGCTACCATGAAACTATGCACTTTTTAATCTAACACACATCACCAATAATAGTATTCAAACTATGAGATCTTTATCCAATTAATTAGCAATTGGAAAAATGACAATTAAGAACCTCATAAGATCATTACAATTATGGGCCTTTAAATTATTGAAATTTCAATAATAGATTATAGTCCTTACTTAGAATTAAAAATATATATCAGTTTACAAAATTGTCCTTGAATCTCACTTGAAAAATTGAGAAAAAATACTACTGAAATTACTAATATGGGTTGGTACTATTAGTAATCTTAGTTGAAAAAAATCAAGATCTGCATTTGAGAGTGGGTTGTGTATCCCAGTATGACATTAAAATTCACTTTTAAAAAACACTTGTGAATATATGATAATTATTTGAAAATTATCAAAATCACTTCTAAATATAAAATAAATTGCTTCTGACTTTTTATGTTTGTCAATATATAGATAAACTACTTGAAAAATTAAGAAAAAATACTACTAAGATTACTATTATGAGTTTGGATTATTATTAATCTTCGTTAGAAAAATTAGGATGCTAAATGTTATGAATTGAGACTATTGAAATTACTATTATGAGTTGACACTATTGTTAATCTCATTTTCAAGTATCAATTTAGATTTTTCCAATTAAGATCAACAATAGTCACAACCCATAATAACAATTACAATAATGTCTTTTTTTTATTTTTGAAATGAAATTCAATCAATTATTTTCTACATTTCCTAGAGGATAATTTTATAAAGTGATATATTTTTAATTTCAAGTAAGGATCATGATCTATTATTAAAATTTTAGTAATTCAATGCCCATAATTATAATTAATAGTTTCATGGAATGCTTAATTGTCATTTCCCCTTAGCAGAATGAACACAGCTTTTGAGAGACAAGTACAAAGAACTTATATATATATATATATATATATTTATATACTCCATCCGTTTACAAATATAAGATATTTTTTAAAGAGTTAAATATTAAAAAAATAAAGCATTTTTAATCTTTTAAGGTCTAACCATTGTCTTTTTTAAAAAACTGCCCCTATTAATGAATGCCTTTATATTTATTGTAAGATATTTAATAAGGATAAATATAAAAATATAGAATTAATTTTTATATTTATAAAAAAGTTGGTTAAAATCTTAATTTTTTAAAAAATTATTATCTCTTTTCAACCGTGACATTGAATATAATAAATATAGCATTTGACTTAACATATCTTTATTAATTACTCAATAAGGTAAGAGTGTAATTAGAGAAAAAATCCAAAGGGAATAATACTTCTTCTATACTTTTAAGCAAAATCTCACATATCAATAAATTTTATTAAATACACTTAATAATTTTTTTAAAAAAAAATAAAAATATAAACTTTTAAAAATATATTTCATTTAATATGTTAAAAAGAGAGAGAGAAAATTAAATAAAAAGGGAGATGATATTAAAATAAATTTATTTAGTAAAACATTAATTTTTTAAAGTATTTTATATTTTAAAATATTAAATTTTTGATAAAAGTGTCTTATAATTGTTGGGAGGGAGAGTAATATATTGCATACCAATGCCACAAAACTGCACCCATCATAGACCAACACTCAAACCTTGACTTTTTTAGACGGTCCAGGGTGGCGAAATAAAAAGGTGATTGATCAGACTTCTCTCTGTATCTCCTCACCTAAACTCTTTGCACCTGAAAATAATTGTCTTTAATCTTTAGGGTCACTTTTGCTGAATTTATTAGGTCAAATTATTTTAATAAATTGATCTTTTGAAAATCGATTGGTTGTAGTCAATATTACGTTTTGATCAAATCAATGTGAGATGCGTAACATTAACCCAAAAAAACAAAACAGAGTAAATTTAATTGGAATCAATGAGCATGCCTTCGATACAAAATTGCTCCTTTCATTTAATATTATAAGTTATTTTTAATTAAATTATATTCCAAATAAGTTGGTTGAATTACATTTAATAGGAAGTTTAATTAGAAAATGTTATTGATTACACTTCTAATTAATTTTACCTTGAAAAAGACTCAAAATTGTGTTATATTTTTTAATATAATACTTTAAAAAATAGGAGAAATAGAGTGGAGGTGCAGTATGTTGACTATTCATTCAGTTTTGTGGAGGTTAGAGTCATTAATTAAACAAGGAATGGTAATAAGCGCGAAAGAGCCTTGAGTCTAAGTAGTTGTGGTGCGTCCACCTAACTTCAATTATAACTGCGCAGCCAGGCCAGGCCCGGTGTTTTTTTTTTTTTTTTTTTTTGTGGGTTTAACTTTGTACACTTGTTCATTATTTATTCAGGTCAAGCATGGCATCTCTGCCACTGCACCTACCCTCTCTCCCTCCATCGCCCTTTCCCATGAGTATATATAGACGACACGTACACTCACAGACACACCAGCATTGCTCAATATAGACATCGGTACGCAACACGAACAGATAAAACCATCTCATCAATCCAGCGGCTGCGATGGTGAAGGTGGAAGATATCCGCAAGGAGCAACGGGCGGAAGGCCCCGCCACCGTGATGGCCATCGGCACCGCTACCCCTCCTAACTGTGTTGACCAAACCACCTATCCCGACTTCTATTTTCGCATCACCAACAGCGACCACATGACAGAGTTGAAGCACAAGTTCAAGCGCATGTGTAAGTGATATCATCATCATCATCATCATCATTTCAACAGGCACGGCTCTCTAATCAAACAAACCCTGTTATTCAATTTCAGGTGACAAGTCGATGATCAAGAAAAGATATATGCACTTGACAGAAGAGATCCTGAAAGAGAACCCCAACATGTGCGCTTACATGGCGCCTTCAATTGACGCTAGACAAGACATTGTGGTTCTAGAGGTCCCCAAGCTAGGGAAAGAGGCGGCCACCAAGGCCATCAAGGAATGGGGTCAGCCCAAATCCAAAATCACTCACTTAATCTTCTGCACCACCAGTGGCGTCGACATGCCTGGAGCTGACTATCAGCTCACCAAGCTCTTGGCCCTTCGTCCCTCCGTGAAGCGATACATGATGTACCAGCAAGGCTGCTTCGCCGGCGGCACCGTCCTTAGGTTGGCCAAAGACTTGGCTGAGAACAACAGAGGAGCTCGAGTCCTCGTGGTCTGCTCTGAGATCACCGCCGTCACGTTTCGTGGGCCTAGTGATACCCATCTTGACAGCCTTGTGGGCCAAGCTTTGTTCGGTGATGGAGCTGCCGCTGTGATTGTAGGCTCCGACCCTATTCCTCAGCTTGAGAAGCCCATTTTTGAGCTCGTGTGGACGGCCCAAACCATACTCCCTGACAGTGAAGGAGCTATTGATGGACATCTTAGGGAAGTTGGGCTTACCTTCCATCTTCTCAAAGATGTTCCCGGGCTTATCTCAAAGAACATAGAGAAAGCCCTGGTTGAAGCATTCCAGCCGTTGGGAATCTCTGATTATAACTCCATTTTTTGGATTGCTCATCCTGGTGGGCCTGCCATCTTGGACCAGGTTGAGGACAAATTGGGCCTCAAGCCCGAAAAGATGAGGGCCACTCGACATATTCTAAGCGAGTACGGGAACATGTCAAGTGCTTGCGTGTTGTTTATCTTAGACGAGATGAGGAAGAAGTCTGCTGAAGATGGGCTTCAAACTACTGGTGAGGGGCTTGACTGGGGCGTCCTCTTCGGATTTGGGCCTGGGCTCACTGTGGAGACCGTTGTGCTTCATAGTGTGGCTCTCTAAAATGCTTGGATTTGCCACATACGCAGCATCATTGCAATTGTTCTTCTTCTTCTTCTTTAAATTATGTGTTATTTTCATACATGCTTCTTCAGCTCAGAAGCCTAATAATGTTTGTTCTCACAGTCTAATCTTCATTACAAATTTGTCAAGAAATTCTGTAACCTGCAGGTTAAATATGTAAAAGGATAATGTACAACTCGAAATTTTGTACTGCAGTCATGAATTCCTTTGCCAAAGATTTTTTTTATTTATTTGTGGAGTACAATTTACTTACTTTTATAATTTTACTATAAATAATTTATTTTTGGTCAAGAAGATGGCGATGCTAATGTGTAGTTAGAGTCAATATTTTAGATGGATCGACCTTAAAGTATCTTATTCCTTTAAAAAAATGCTCATATAATCGAGCCTGACTTTAACTTTTTTCAACTGAATTCAGGTTGGCTTGTCAGCTTGATCAAAATTACCTACTCTACATACACAAAGCCAAAAAATTTAGAGGTCAAGCTTAATTTAGGCCGAGCTCATTCAAATCAAATTTAAAGTATCCTACTTTCTTTAAAAAGTTCACATAGCTAAGCCCGACTTTAATTTTTTTTTAACTGAATTCAGATTAGTCCGTCGGACTTGCCTTGAATTATTGACTCTATGTAGTGTAGCCTTCTCTACCAAACCCGAAAACCAAAGTCAACTAAGGCTAAGCCGATATATTTAAGGATTTTTTCTGGTCCAAAGTTTGACAATCATCCTCACCTTCAATGCCTTCCTGCGGGTGATTATCACTTTGCAATAGTTATTGTGTAAATCGTGCAAAGTGCAAACTTTCAACTCTGATGTCTGATAATTAATTAAAGTTTAAAGCTAGCATGATTTCCAGTAGCTACATGTAATTTGAAAAACAAACCGTACTATTAATAGTCATAAATAAAATCACAGTTCGTTAAAACTTTTATATTTGGAAAAATTTATTGTTAATAATAAATACGGAAAATTATTACTAAGGACCTGGAGAAAATAATATTTATTATAAAGGACCCTTAAAATTAAAATTAGGTTGAAGGATTAAGGTAAAGACAATTGACTATTATAACCTTAATACAAACCCTATTAATAATGCCTTAAAATTAACGGTGCTGCATAAGTTAAAAATAAATAAATATAAAGTTGTGTGGATTTCAATTCCACACAAATAAAAACAAAAATGTAGTATTAAATTTAACTAAGTTAATATATTTTAAAAAATGACTACTTTTTAAATATTAATTGAATATAATTTTAAAATCATTACTTTAAAAAAACTTAAGTCAATATGATTTTAACAAAATGTTTATTTTTAAAAATTATTACATTTTATTTTTTTTCATTAGCTTAAAAAGATTTTGTGTCAACTTATTTTTATTGGACTTGTGAATATTTAAGGCCTGTTGTGATTTCTAACATTATTTATTTATTTGAATTGGAATGAAAAGCGGAGAGGAGAGGTTCTCTCTTTACTTTGGTGGTGGCTTTCTCCTGCTCATGCCTATTTTGTTCTTTCTAAGTCTTGATCTTTCGCCTTTTGTCTGTGGTGGTTTTTTGAGTTTACTACAAGATGTCTTTACCGAGCTGTAGGGGATCTCATCTGGATTTCTGTAGGAAGCATTATCTTTTTTTTTTTATATATGTTCATGATCTTAAGGTTCTTCATGCTTCAAAGTTGCAAGCGTTAATAAACTTTCGTTCGAAGCTTCAGGGTCATGTTCGAGTTATTCAGCAGTCCTGGCCTTACTTTGTCCTGCATTTTAGTTCAGATTCAGATGCTGACTTTATTCTACATCAAGGAACATGGTTATTTCAAGGTTTTACTGACTCCATTTTTCCTTGGCAAGCGTTTCAACCCATTTCGAAGGTTTCTTTTACAGATTTTCATATTTGGGTTCATGTGTATGGGCTACCTTTGGAAAATTACACTACAGCTGCTTCAATAAGATTGGTCATTTTCTCTACTATGATTGTCTGAGTCTTTTTTTTTTTTTTTTAATCATGGTTTGCATTCCAAGATCTCTATTTCGGATTTCTTCAAGCTTGCTCATGGATTGTGGTATAAACTTCCTAATGGGGATCCTATTTCTCTTTTTTTTCAACTGAAGAATGTTAGAAGGTTTTGTTCTAATTGTTTTTGCATTGGACATTCTTCCCGCTAGTGTGTTATGTCGGTTACGTTGCAGCGTCCTACTCATGTTCAAGTTTAGAATGGCTTTGGTTTCAGGTCGGTGGATGTTTTTCTTTTTCTACGGCAATGTTATAGTGTTGTTCGAAGATTTCAGGGTGTTCACATTAGGAATATCTCATGTACAAATCAAGTTCAAATGAATCATTATGGCATGCCACATGGTGTTTTGCATGAGCAAGATTACTTGTCAAATGTGAGATGCACAAGAAGTGTAAATGGCAATGGACAAAGAGCTATCATCTAGGATCAACTAAAAAGGCTAAAAATGAGAATATTTTAATCACTTTTAAATCGGTGAAGGGGTACTCCTTTAAGCAGGCTATTAAGTTGAAAGACATGGGATATGGTATTAAAAGTGACCAAGTGTGTGGCATAAAGAAATGAGCTGATGTGGAATTCTTTGAATTTCCTTTCTTTTTGGCGGGCCCTACAATTTTCACTAAGAGATGTAACAAACTTAGGTGCTTTATTTCAAGCATTTTAAACCAATTTAACACATTTGATTATCCAAGAGTTACTACTCCAACATTGGTTCTTCCAACTAATCATTCATAATTTCCCAACCTTCGGTTTGTTTTGGTTCCAGCTACTTCCTAGCATTCATGTCAAAAGCAGAAGGTTGCTCTGTTTTGAAATTCTGTTACAGAGTATGAGTAGGATTCTAGGTTTTACAAGGTTTTTGCCAAAAAAAAAAAAAAAAAACCTCATACAATCACATGATACACCTAGGACCTTCATGCATTGCAGCCTTGTGGAGGTCCAACATCAAGAGCTGCATGGTCCTTTTCTCTTTGATTTCATGTCTGTTTATTTTGGTGTCTGTTATTTGTCTCGTGTTGTTGCATTCATGTTCATGCAGATATGTTATTTTCTTTGTCGAGACTTTGCCAAATTAACCTTTAGTTTCTTAAATCCTACAAAAGAAAAAACACTAAAATGATCCCTGAAATCCAATTTAGTCAACTCCTTGTTGCTTTTCAATCTGTTAGATTAAATTGGTCTTTGGATTGCTCTTCATGTGAGCTCTACTACACATCACCTGCTTGTTCAAGAATATTAAAACTTGGTCCTTTTGGAGTGCTAATTTTTGCGTCTTGAGTTAGTTGTTGTTTAGGTTTTATCAAGTCTGTTGTATCTCTGTTTCGTTCTTTTATACTTTGCAGTTTGTATTTTATTTTGTTATCAATCTTTCTATGGGCCTTTAGGAGGTCTTTTCTAGAAGCCTTTTATGCGTACTAATCTTACTTTTAGTTTTAATGAAAGTTGTCTTTATATATATAAAGCATTATTTATTTATCATTTTCAGTGATTTAACTATTAAATTCAATTTGAGATGTAATTAGAAAAAATATAAAAAATTTAATTAGGGAAAATTTTGTATTTTAAAATATATATTTTGATGTTTGGTCTCTTTTAATAATTACTATTTTTTAGATCCTTCATAATAAATATTATTTTTTTTCAGGTCTTCAGCAATAATTTACCTAATAAATAAGTATTTTAATTTCAAATAATTACCACTGCAGTACCAAAAAGACTTTAAGGAAAAATGTTAACATTTTATGCGGAAATAAAAGGTTCGTTCCAAACCATCATCTCCACAGTAGAGTTTGCAACCCAATAAATAGAATATGAATAATGTTATTATCTATGAATTAATTAAATTCATAGATTTATAGACGACCGATTTAAATCAACTTTCTTCCGCGCTTGGCCGTTAACTGATGAATCGTTCAATCATCAATGTTCCCATTCAAATTGTCATCCTCCTAACTGTTATGAATCTTGATTAATACACGTGCGGAAGTATGCTTGATTAAAAATGATTTCAAGAACTCTTTTGTTTTTTTTTTTTTTGGACAGAGAAATGATTTCAAGAACTTGAACGAACGATTAGTAATACAAAAGTCCAAAAACAAATGGACTCTAGAGGCATGTCTAATCTTAAGTATCGCAAATATCAATGGGCCGAACTATCATCGGCATGAAGGTCTGACTGCATCTGTTCTATCAGTATCTTTTCGATGGCATCCACGAAGCTTGGTACATGTTGCCGAATATGAGAATCTGATGAATTGGCCAATTTCTAAAGAATCGAACCCCCACGCCAAAGGAAAGGAAAGAACGTGAAATTCAAAAAAAGAAAAAAGAAAAAAAAAGAGAGTTAGTAATCTTCCAACCATTTCCAGTCGACATGATTATGATCAGGATTCAGAATAGCACTAGAAGGCATGATAGAGAGCTGATAGGTGAATTTTCTCAATGCCTACTTAAAAACAGTCCCGCAGAGCCATTAAATCTCTGAAATCCATGTGACAAATTTTAAGACACTCGCACCGAGTCATCTAGAGGAAAGAGCGCCTATAAAGTATTTGAATGCAATTAACAAGGGCAAGTTAAATAAATCATGATATGAGACACTATCTTTTTTTTTCACCCAAAAAAAAAAAAAAAGACATTAGCAACACGGACGCAATAATTATGGGCAGATTTGAAGCCACGAAAAAGTAAAAACATTAAATGCAACAGTGAATCCGCTCAGGTGCATGGTATCTTATAGCAATGTTGTTCATGGATTACCTTAACGGCTTAACGTAAAATACCAATACGCCAAATGATTACCATAAAATATCTGCTGGATAGCTTTTTTATAAAGCCAAGAATAAGGGCCGGTTTAGAAACCTTGTTCAAATAAGAGTTTAAATTTTAAAAATTAAATTTTTTTAAAGTAATTGAGTTTAAGGGCTTGGTCTTGATAAACTCTATAGAAAACGGCTCAAACCCAGGCAGCCCTTGAAGCTCTAATAAAAAGGGTTATCTTATACACACACACATATATATATTTGACTAATAATAACATAATTTGGTTAACATTTATTGTAAATGATGAAGAAGTTGCAGAGATAATTAACACTAAATATCCACTTCCATCTTCAACAAGTACACCTACATCTGAAGGATTTAATATTTTATTTTTAGATGATGATGATGAGGATTTAGATTTACATTGATAAATATTTTAATCTTCATCTTAAATTTAAAATTTTAAATCTTTGTCGAATTTTATGTTGAATTTTAGGTAAGACTTTAATTTGTTTCATATTGAATTTTAAAATATTTTATTTAAATTAAAATGTTAGATTTTTTTTTTTTTTGAGAAAGAGGGCTTAAGTGCCCGACCCTGAACCCTATAAATAAGGGCCGAGTCTCAAAATTAGATTGAATTTTGGATAACTAGGATTTAGGGCCTAAGTCCTTAAGAGCCGAGCCCATAAGAGCCAAGCTCACCTTAATTCCCACCTCTACTTTTCTTGCTATCAGAGAAATGAAAACAACATACTGGTAATAGCTACACTGATTTCGGGAGGTCTAACAAAATAGAAAACAGGAATTCTGAGGTCAAAACTCAGCATAAGAATTGCCTTTTACAACCAAAAGCAAGAGAAAAATCAATGATATATCATTAAAACTTCGAAAGTGGGGAAGGAAATGATATCGCTGACCTCAACTTTGCAGAGAAAACTAAGAGAAATTTCCTTCAGATTATCTGATCCCTTGAGAGATATAAGCTTCAATGGAGGACCAAATAGCGGCCAATTGTGAGATAACTTTATGAATGCATCAATTCCTCCAGCCACGTGAGCTACAATAGTTTCATCTCTATCCAAGTATTCAAGCGAATATCTGTAGCCAAACATAAAATGAAGTACATGTTAAATCATAAGTTAATTGTATATTAAATCAATCAAAAGTAGAGTCAAATTTTAAGTACACCAAAGCTAGGATTGCATCAAGGGTCTCGCCTTGATTTGTTAGCATCCTTTACTGCAAGACGCCTAAGTGAGCTAAGAATAATTCTATCTTGAACTTTTCTTATAAGCCACTGCAATGAAGAATTGCTGCACAGTAAATACAATACAGTGAATCAAATAATTAAAAAATTACTTATTCTTGGTGTTTGCCTTTCAAATTTAGAAGCAAAGCATAGTCCCTTCAAAAAAAAACATGACCAGTTCAAGTGAAAACTGTTGGCAAAATCCTACACACAAATCAAAATCTCCTTAATAGCTCATTGAAGGAACTTAAAAACTAAATTGGTAAATGAACTGTAGTAGTAGTAGTAGTAACAATAACAATAATAAAAGCATAATGCAGGTAAAAATCATCAGATCTAACTTTATCAAAATCTTGCACAATAGAAAGCATTTTTTGTCCTCCCATCCAATTCTTCTTTCTTTTTCTTTTTGCGTTTGTTGTTGTTTCATCATCGAAGGAAAGTATTTTTTTTATAAAGCATAATATTGAGAGTTGTGTTAGGGCAGTCAACTTTATTTCCTATCATAATTTTTTCATATAACGTGAGCATGTCAAATGCATAATGAGATCTGATTTGGCTAAGAAATTGAAAACGAAGTTTATCAGAGGACGTATATTTAAATACAGCATATAAGTTGACTTGATTATAATTTTATTATCTTATTGGGAACTGAGAGAATGGTAGTTTAGAGTCCATAGACAAAAATTATGACAGTAAGGAATGAAGGAAAAGAGAGGCTGAGGAGAAAAACAGAACAAACCTGAGAGATTTTGCTGTATCAACAATGTCGCTCACATATATATCATTTGGAAAAACCTATATAACAAGGATTAGAAATTAAAATTGAAAATAATTTAAGGCAAAACCCTAAGGAATAAATAAAACCATATCATACATCCAGCAAATCCATAAATTCACTTAGAAAAAATCCAAACGTAAGTTTAGAAGCTGAAAACCAAAATTAAGGTAAGATAGAATGGTCACTCACTATACTCTAACAAGACCTTAACCTATATAAACCAATGGAATATATAAAGGAACTTTCTTTTTCTTTCTTTCTTTTTTTTTTTTTTTAAAGTTTAAAACGACTCAGCTTTGAGGAGTGAGCATTTTGAATTTTTTTTCCCAAACAAGTTGGATATAGACACTAACAACATATCAACTTAAGAAATAATCATATGTTTTGATACCTGAACATTCTTTAACTTCATAGTCCCTTCTAAAACTTCGATTAGTAACTCATGGTTCACTTCAGCTGCATCAATGTTTGGCATGTGGGTTTGTAGTGACAACCTAATGCAATTCTCATCAAACGCAAGCACTTTTAGACCCATCAACGCATCCTCAATCTGCTCTACTACATCAAACCTAAACAAACGAACAAGATGAGCAAGGCAAGTTGCATATAAGTATCTAAAGTGTAAGAGGAAGTAGATGAAATTACCACTTGACCATATGCTTAATATCCTGCAGAGACTTGACAGTTGACTTCATTTCATCAATCTTATTATCAAGTTCTAACAGCTGCCAGGCGGAAGCATAATTTTGTTCTTTAGAAAGAGATTAATAAAGGGAAAGTAATAGAAGATGATTAACTACAAAGAATCATTAGAATAATTATACATAAAGAACCAGAACAACAGATCACCAAATGTTTAGTCAATATATCTTACTAACTCGTACAATCCTCACGAAGCAAACAGATAGAGAAGTAACGTGATTAGTCAAAAAGACCTCTAACTCATTGTCTTCATGTGCAGTGGTCAAAGTTGACTGGTTATCGACCAGCATATGAGCATCAACACCTTCGCTTGCCCATGCAGTCTTTAGGTCCTAGTAATAGTATCATCCGAAGTCAAAATATGATAACTACAATGAAAATCTCATAACCCTCACAAGCAGGATTTCAACCAAGACTGGAAAAATTGACACGTTTATTGAAGCACATTATTATACAACGTCACCAATTACAATAATAATGCAATAAACCTAATTAATTCAAGTATAGGTTGAAGTAGGAGGTTCATAAAGTCCATCTAAATCATTAAAAACAGAAAATGTAAATGTGAAACTATATGATCAACACCAAATCCAAAGTAAAAACAAAAGAAATCATAAGTATTGATATTTTGACCCATACATCAGTCAATCAATGTCACTCTATAGAGATTTGGATTATTGGTGTAAATACAATTGTTTAGTATTCCATCTAAATTCTTCCATTGCTTGAATAATTATTCACCTACAAAGAGGCATATTTATAAATCAGCTAGGCTATTTCTTCTTATTGTTTATACTGTTTGGCATTTATTTTTAGACACCAACTAGATGTGGACCCCATAAATTAAACAAAGTCTGACAAAAGGATTGCGCTGTTCATGGTTTAAAATAATGTGGTTTGTAATAAAACTTCATATTTTATATGATGCGATAACATCAACACCCAGTAGATGCTGCAAGTATATTCCTTTCAAATATCAAGCAGAACATTTGATTTTCTGAATGCATATAATTGAGAGGATTTGATCTCAATGAAGGATAAAGAGAAAATAGCACACTAAGGCTCAATTTGAGTTTACAGCTTCTCAGTTGACCAAAAAGAGTAACATATAATGAATTCCCTTTCAATAGCGAACCAACCTTTAATGAGACATAATCTAAAGAGCATTTCAGTTCTTCAAGTTTAGCCTCCAACAGGCTGGATTCTGGAAAAACAGGAAAAGTAAATGAATGACGAAAAGAAAAGGAGGGGAGGGAAGGTTCCATCTCCTGATAGAGCAACTATGCAAGAAGCGGTCAAAGGCATCACCTTCTTTATGCATTTTGGTAAGCCGCTCAAGCTCTTTAGCTATATCGGAGCTTTCAACTTCCACCTTGTTATGTTCCTCTTTCAAAAGCTCAAAGTAGGCATCTGTGTGAAAATCGATGAATTAGTAAAATCTCATCATAAATTTTCCAACTCTCTGCTTCACCTTAAGTCCCTCTCCAGTATTCCATGTGTCAGCAACAGTGTGAAAAATGGAAAGACAAAAGTAAGATAGCAAGACTCATACGGCACAAGAAAACATAGCAATACTTTCAAAGCCTATACAGCTGCACTCGACTGCCAAACTACTAATTCTAGCAAATTCTAGTCTAGTGAATCGCCTCAGGAAAAAAGCTACAGAAACAAGAGCAAGAAAGACGAAAACCCACAATTTCAATGAAGGAAACCCGTTGGCGAGGCTACCGCAAGTTATATGCTATACCCTATATATTATTCTGCATAGAAACTTGTCCCGCCAGCAATTCAGAAGAACAAAAAGAGCACTCACCCGTATCACCGTCTACTAAGAAACCCACATCCGAGCATTCGGACACAATCTGCTGTATTCTACTCTGTAAATAAGAAAGCATAAAGGCGTTTATTGACTGAGAAGACCAGGAAAGCAATGCTGATAATGCAACAATACCTCCAATTCAAGAGCAGAATCCTGCAGTAATTTCTCTGCGTCCAAAGAGTTTAATTCAGGGACGTCTTCGCTGCAACGCTTGTGAAGCTCTGCAAGCTCCTCCAATCGACTGAAAGAAATAAAACAAAAATAGCGATTATGTGAGAGAAATTGAAGGGGGGTGGAACAAGAAGAGGGAGAATGACCTGCGAAGGGCGGGGAGGTCCATGGGTGGCGATGGCGATGGGATGGATTGAGATTGTTCTGCCATTTATTATGGAAAATTCAAATTAATTGACTCAGTGAACCCTGTGACGAAATCTTTCGGCAGGGTCGAACTGCTAAGGATCACTGGAAGTAAATTTGAAATCGAGGTGCCGCTCTAGTTGGCTCCTGCTCTGGGACCGGGAGTCCCACCGCGGTTGCCCTTGCGGATGGGGATCATGTGCAGTGGATCCTGGCTTCCCTGTGAAAATTGGCGCTTTTCTTTTTTTTCTTTCCTTTTAAATTTAAATTAATCTAGCCTTGTCTTTTATCTTTGCCAGTAACTAGCATAATTTTTCGGGAGAATCACCTCCAAGTACTTTCGAAAGAATTATTCATCGATAAATATGAATACGAAATTATTTATTATTAATATAATAATAGTTGTCTTTTTATTTTTTTTTCCGAATGTTAATTTGTTTTTTATTTTTATTTATGAATAATTTTTTAAAGAGGTCCTCAGATACGAATTCTCCCTATTTCTTGGATAAAATGACAGAAAAATATTTTAAAATATGCAATGACAATGAAGCCACCTGATAATTCTTTCCAAGTTTTTTAAAAGATTTTTAACATTAGTATCTTTTGTTGAAATAATTATAATAATTCCACTTTTAAATATTAATTTCTATTTTAATTTAAATAATATTTTTTATAATGATTAAAATGAAATAGTAAATGATAAGTTTTGCTCTGTAAATTTTTAATTACTACAGTTTAAGTGTTGAAAATATTGGTGACTATTTTGATTTAAATAATAATTATTTTTTTCTGACAATAATTAAAATGATATAAGTAATTATAATGTCCCTTTGCAAATTTTTTATCAATAAAATTCAAGTTTTATAAATATCAATAATCAAATTGGTTTAGATAATACTTACTTTTGTTTTAACAACATCTAAAATGAAACAATAAATAACAAGTTTCACTTTTCAAATATTTTAATCACATAAAATCTTTCTAACCAAGATGAATTACAATAAATACATTTCCATGTATACTTTTGGAGTCGGATAAAATTTGGTTGAAACATACCTCTAAGTCATTTAGTATTACACAAAATTTTATTTTAATTTCTTAATTTTATAAATTGTCTCTTTAATTTTTTAACCTTGATATAGTTATTTTTATTATCAAGATTTTTTACATTAAACTTGTAAACATTGACAAAATGTTTAAATATGAAGTTTAATTTTTTAAATATAATAATAATTGGCACAAAAAAATAGTTATTTGAAATTAACGATATTAAAGTTAAGGAATTAAAAAAATACTTTATAATATTAAACGACTAAATTAAAATTTTATATAAAGTTAGAAAATTAAAAATATATTTTAAAAGATAAAATTTTAATCTTATCAATGTTTGCTGGCATGCCTCTCCATCATGCATTTACAATTTTTCCAAATGTTTAATAGTGTGTGAATAAAATCAAGGAGAGAGCTAGAAAAATTTATTATTAAAGGAAAATTATATATATATATATATAACTAACATAATATAAATATTTCAACGAATATATTTATATTTAATTTTATAAATATATAATAAAAATAAACCCATACTTTCATTTTTTATGTTTTGCTCATCAATTTTTTATAACATAAAAATAATTAATTATCATGTCTACAATAAAGATTTTAATAATTTTCTTTTTAATATAAGCTATCATTAAATCATTGAAGATTTTATCTATCCCATGAATATCGAATGATTTAAATGCATAATTGACATATAAAGTTTTGTTTAATCTAAACAATTCTATTACTTGCTTAGTAAGTTTACTATTTAATTCTTTCAATTAATGATTATAGTCAACATGATAATGATGTTCAATTATTATATATTTTTTATACCAATGAGATCTAAGTATATTATAGTAAAAACCACTCATATAATAAATTTTAATAGCTTTGTTATTACAAAAAAAATAATTTTTTTAAAAGAACATATCTTAATCATAACCTCCTAATTTTTGGATAGGTAATTTTATGGTAGAAATCAAACACACAACATTTAATAACTCTTGACATTTTTGTTAAAATGTTTGACAAAGTTTGTTAGTAATAATTCTTAAAATTTATTTCACTACATATAAAATGAAATCAAGATCAAATTATATCTATACTTTAAAAACAAGTGTAATATTATTTTGTTGAAAATAAATAAATCTTATAACAACTGTATCTTTAAATTACTAAAACAGTTGGATTATATATGTATAAAAAATCATATATAGAATTGAAATGAACATTTTATTTAATGTCTTAGTATTTTTATAATGCACTAACTTAAAGAAGTCAAAAATATATAACTTTGTATTTTATTAATAAAAAATTAAAAAATTAGGGGTCCTTGTTAGCCCCCTTATCTCCAACCCTAAATAAAATTGTATCATTATATATTAATTTACGAGAATTTTTGCCATTAACACTTTTACATCCAGGTTCGAGTCAAAGATAAAATGATTTCTTCTCCAATTTTTTTCACGATGATCGGCATTTTACCTCGTTATCATAATTTCTTCTCCAAGTGTCTTTACTTGTTTGCTCCAATTTTTTCATGATGATCGGCATCTTGCTCCCGTCTCTCACAGCCACCGGACGAGGTTAATTTGGTGGGGCTTAAAAGTCGAAAAGTCAACGTTTTACAAAGTCTCGCCCAAATTTGCAAATAAAAAAAAGCTACGATAACAAGCACGGGAAGGTGAAATAAGGGGTAGAGAATGAACTCCGGTGCGTTTTCATTTCACCATGAATGAATATGATTTTACAAAATTTACTATAAACTTTATGTATATTGAAATTGAAGGTGTTTCACAGAAGCCCTTCGTCTGGTCAAATTTTAGCCTAAAGCAGAAATGAATCTTTCAATTATTTTTTTGGGAACGGGATTACCATGTTGACTTTGCGTGGTGGCGTCGTACATTAATTATCGAAAATGTTTTCGGGGCTGTAAAACTGATAAATATTCAAAATGAGAGAAGAATACATCCATGTGTCGTTGTTGGTTGGGGTCAGCTTGTTAGAAAGCAAAGAAAAAGCCAAATTTTCTTCCGGTGCGCTGTGCTGACTTCTGCAAGAACGGGCGATCAAAGAACAAGCGGCATAGATAGAGAGATAGATACATGCTATAAAAAAACAGGAAGGAAATGGAGAGAGAAGGAGCATTGAAACAGCAAGAAAGAAGGCATTTCCCAAACTGCGTGAAGGCAGAAAAGGAAGGCAAAGGTTGTGTTCTCGATTCAAACACATTCACACATGGAAAGTTTGAACTTGCCATTATTAATTATCTCTCCCTTCTCGTTTCCTTTTCGTTCTCCTTGTCTTCCTAACTCTTCTATAAGACTCTTACTCTAGCTCTTCCCGCCGCTCCTTCTCTTCTTCTTTCTCCCGACCCGGCTGCTCGTTCACTCCGCTCAGGTACCGATCTCTTTTCCTGGTTTTGTTTGTTCATGTTTTTGAACTGATATAAGGATAACAGACTTTTATTATGTTCTGCTTAATTCTTCATATTAATTTGCTCCCCTCCTCCTGAACCTCTCTCTCTTGCCCTTTATCTGCCACGTCTCCCTGTAAGACGCCTTGCTCTGTATGGTACAATTCCCATATTAATGAATATTAGATTCTAAATGGGTTATGAAATATTTGAAGAAATTTCTACCCGGAGAGTGAAAATTACTGCCTTACATTCGTTCTTCTTCTTCTTCTTTTTTTTTTAAATTGATTTTAGTTTCTCAAACGCTCCTCCCCCCCCCCCCCACAAAAAAAAACTCCCTTTTATAGCTCTAATAAATCTGCAGAAGCTTTTGCACCCAATTTTTTTTTTTTTAAAATATATATGTAGAAGCATTGCTTTCTTTCAGAAAAGAAGAGAGCAAGCAACTAAAAATAAATACATTCCATCTTACTCTGGGGAAACAAGTTGAAATAATTTTGTGTATTGTATGATTAACTTTGAGAAGCTCACTGAAATTCTAAGTTTCTTCATCATCTCTTGCATATATAAATTGCAAGCAGAAAAAGTTGTTTTTAAAGTAAAGAAAACATTGGATTGATCATCAATCGCATTTTTTAGCAAAGGAAATTGAGGGTCTGAATGGCTTAAGTCTTCCACCTGGCTCATGATAATGCACTTTTATGGATGATTAAGGAACCTAGGGTTTGCATTACCGAGGGCTCAGTTTTAACATGAGCAGCTCAGGACCTAGTGAAGGCCAGGCAGATGCTAGAGATTTTCAAAATCAGCAAATCGTGGTTTTTGACTTGGACCTCAACCTTCCTCTTCTTGAGGAGAACCTGGATGCAGCAGCTCAGGGATCAGCCCTTGATAATGAAAATTCTCAGTGGCGGATAGGTGATGCTGAACTTGATGATGTTGTTATAATCTCCCCAAGAAAATTTGAAGAAGTATGTTATTCTTTGTTCAAGCTTCAATTTTTTCTCCCAATTATATATGAAACTGCAAGTTGTTTTGAATTTACTTCTTATAGTTAGCTCGTTTCCTTTTAGGCAAAGAACAGTTCTCGAAGAAAAAATGCTTGTCCAAGCTTTGTGGTTATTCCAGTTTTTGATGAGGAGAGAGGAAACATTTCAGGTTTGTTAGATTTTCCATGCATTGTCATTGTTTTCTCCGTCTCATCCTGTGCATTTATCATATTTGATTAACATGGGTGGTTCTCTCCTTTCCTTTTTTCTTTTCTTTTCTCCTTTTGTAAGGAGGTGGGGGCGAGTAATGACTGGTGTAATAGGTTAGACTTTTGTGACTTTAGAAAGTGCCTTTTTTATGCAATCCAATTGTATCTTCAGGAAATTTAGCTTTGGCAGTTAGGCATAAACTTGGTTGCCTGTTGGTTCCTCCTTCTCACTCTCCTTCAAATGATTGGTTTGGTTGGAAATACTCTTGATTTTCTTTCCTTTGGGTCGAAGTTTACCATTCATTTTTACCTTATTGAATTTATTTTTATCTGTTCCTCTCCTCAGTGTCACCCTCTTTTTTTTTTTTTTTTTGGTGGGGGGGTGGATTTGCAATCAGTGTCACCCTCATTGTTTATGAAGGGGAAAATGCTGCTGGTCATAAAAAATTTGGCTGTGGAAGTCTTGTGAATGATGTCAAATGACCTTGATAACTAGGACTGCAGTAATATTTTTCGTTTTTAGGAGGTTCACTAACAGGTTTCCTGGGTTTGCAGAAGTGACAGCAGACGCAGTTTCTCACCCTATTAGTGACAACAGACATAAAACTCCACAAAACCAAGTGATTGTGGACTGTGAGCTGCACTTAGGTGTGAAAGACAGTAGGGTAGCCAAGGTAACATTTGCTGCTTTTGTTTTATTATAGCCACTTCCTGCTATGGTTTCTTCTGCATCTTTAGTATGCTGATAATTGCTGGTAATTATTGCTTCAGAGATATTCCAGATTCTTTATGGAATATATTTTGCTTGATTACGGTCATTGTTCATCTGATGGCTTTTGAAGAGCCATTTTACGCAACTAACTATTTTCAAGTATTGAAGTCATATCTGACTGTTGTTCTAGCAATGAATCTAAACAACTTATTTAAAGTGAAGGTTGATGATAGGACTGCTCAAATAGTCGAATGATTAATTTTACACTTAATTCAGAAAACAAGTAAACTAATATTATGTGATATTGCTCTGCTTTTAATTGATTCCATTTTCTCCTTAAAGATAATTCAACTCTTTCCAGCTAACGTGAACTACGAGCCCTTAAATCGGGAGAAGTATGACCGTAATTTTACCAGCTTTTTTCTGAAGACTAGCAAGCTTATCTGTTCTTCAAAACTCATTCGGCATAGTTTTAGTTCTTCCTTCAGCTGGCTACAACGTAACTGTGCATTTTCACCCAACATATTAAGAAGTTGAATGTGGGATAATGGTAGGTACTAGTCAAACCAGGAGCGTTGGATAATAGAAACTAAAACCTATATTTTCCAAGTTAAATCTAGCAAGAAAGAAGGGGATAAAAATGCAATTGTAGTTGTTTCTTGGCCTAATTTAAAATCTGGTTTTGTCTTTGGTGTTGTACAATTCGACTTAGCCTGGTTACTGCTTGAAGTTGACCCTGTCTAGGTTGGTTATTCATTTAATGGGTGTGGCTTTCATCCATGGCAATTCTTTTCCCACCCTGGCTAACAACTTTCACAATGCTTGCAACGTCTTATTGACAGAGGAAGCAAGTGATGCAATCTTTTAATTGTGACATAGTCTCCATGCTGGTTACAATGTTGTCACAAGTCCAATAGTCCATGGTTACCTCTACATTTAGCTATATTTATATATTAATCCTTGTGCCTGCTTATATTTGATCACTGTGCCTGACAAAAATTAAAACGGAGATCGTTTGAATTTTATATGGCAGAAAACTTATGTTCTTGCACCTCGGGTTGTGTCTCCAAGTACGGTGCCGCCCGAGGAACCCACCTTTAGCTGCACAATTTGCATGGGCCAGTTGATTGAAGCGACATCAACCAGGTGCGGCCACATTTTCTGCAAGAAGTGCATCCAGGCAGCAATAGCTGCTCAACACAAATGTCCCACCTGCAGGCGTAAACTTAGAAAATCTGACATGTTTAGGGTCTACCTTCCAACAGCTAACTAGTGAACTCTGTTTCATAGCAAGATTCATACAACTTATGATTAGAAACCTAATTCGTAGTCAAAGCACTGATTATTTCTGCTGCATTTGGTGTTGATCCAAAGAAAAAAGAAACTGCGTTCATTTGGTTATAGGAAAGCGGACTACAGAATTTCATCTCGAATTCAAAGCCCTGATTTATAAATGGAAAACTCATGATCAACATTGCTGATTTGATATGATGACTCGCTAGATGGGTATATGAATCTTTTGTTATTTGATAGAATCTACTCTTTTGTTTCTCTGCATGATTTGGACCGTGGCCTTGTTATTGAAAAAAACATTGCTGATTTGATTCTCTTGTTTGTTGTTACACAAGGGATTCTGGTAATTAACAATTGACGAGGTTTTCTAAACGGCACTGATCAACCAATTTTTCTGATTTCTCACTCCTTTTTTAGTCCTCGAGTCTATGATGCCTTCCTAATTATTTACATAACTGTTATTTTCTTGTCTACACGTTTTTTTTTAATTGTATTTTATAATTTATTCTATTTCAATAGACTTTCTGTGCTTGTTTGTTGATGTGATGGGGGCGTTCATGTCCTGCCTCCTGCTTAGTCTTCTTTTAATTTCTTATTTTGGTTTAGGTTTCGCTTATTCATATTTCATAATTAAAAAATGTAAATATCAGACTATTTCATTAAAATTAGAAATTGAATTTTTTAAGAGAGATACTCGTATGAATTTAATTTTTTTTTTTTAGCAATATGATGCTTATATCATAATCCTAAGGAAGATTAAAAAAAGTTGTGCAGTGTGCATACATACACACACACACGCAATTGCATATTTAAAGCTTTCTGTCATAGCCTTAGAAATCTCCTGTCCTTGAATCGAGCCGGCCTTAGCGTGATGATCAATCTCTTGATTCTTACTAAATCTAAACCTTTAAAATGTAGGCAAAGGAACTAAAGAGCTTGGCACATTCGAAAGGGGAGAGAACTTAAGAGAGAATTTGAAAGGTTTATTAATTTACTTGCTTTGCTTTCTTGTTTGCTTGTTTATAAATGAGGGGTCAGCAGGTATTTATAAACCTCCCTTTTTTTCTAGAGAGTTCTGTTGGGATTGATTCGATCTAACTGTGTGCATTCATCCTTGAAAATATTTTACATCTACAACAAATATCTATATATTTACAATGATATTTTTAGACTAATATTCAAGTTATATGTGAAATATTTTAAAACATTCTAGAATATTTCAAAATATTATGGATATCTTCATTTTTCTTTATAAGTTTTTAAGACCTTTCAAATTTTTTCAGTTATTTTTAGAGTGTTTTAGATGCTTCTAAAACCTTTCTGAATATTTTACATTCTTCTTAAACGTCCTCAACTTTTCTAAAATTTTCTACAGTATTCTGGACATCTCCAAAAACACCATAATCTTATAATCTCCTCTTTTTAGACACTGATTGTCACACTTCGCTTTATGTGGAAGCTTTATTTAGCATTGAGTGTAAAGTTTGGAATTTTGGATAGCTGTGTTTAAGAATGATATCCCACCTACTGCCTCCTCCAAATACATCGAGTCCAACGAAACACGCACAATTGTTCTTTAGGTACTTTATTTGGCATAGATATATAGAAGACTTCAATATCGATTAGTTTGGGGATTCTTTCCGCTGACTGGATTAAATTAATTATGTTGGTGAAATGTAATTTAAAACTAATACCTCATTTTCTTCATCATTCACTATAAACCATATACTAAAACATATCACAAGATCCTTATAAATTAGGTTATATTATAATTATAATTTTTCAGTTTGATAGTACTCCCTCCATCTCAAATTATAGAGTATTTTTGGAAGAATTTATCTATCTCAAAATATAAAATACTTTGAGTAAATTAAAATTTTATTAAATATATCAATTTCAATATTATCTTTTCTCTCTTTATGATTAATTTCTATCACTTTTTTTAATATATTAAATGATGAATATTTTAAAAAATTTATATTTTTATTTTAAAAAGATAAGGTTGTTCAATGTATTTAATAAAATTTATTGATACTTAAAATTTTATCTAAAAATATTTTATAATTTGAAATGAACGGAGTACTAACTATGGCTATCGTCCTTGTTTTTCTGGCACGTTTAATGTTCCATGAATTATGTACCATTTTTGCACTTTTCATAGATTTCCAATCCATCATTACTAAATCTTAGGTAAAATTATATTTAATGTGTCCAACTTGCAAATAATAATGAGTAACTTTAAAATTGAAGTTAATCAGAAAACCTTAAAATCAAATATCCTTATTTATTTATCTTTGAATCCTTTGGAAGCATATCGATTTTTTTTCCCCTTTTCTATTTCTATTCTATTAGTTGAATTAACTTTTCGTGTATCTTATATTAAAAAAACTTTTTTGTGTATCTTATGTTTTTGTTTTGTCGGCAAATTGGCCATCATACTATAAACAAAAATTTTATTTATTAAAATATTAAACTTTAAAAAATATTTACTAAAATACTACAAACTAAAATTAGGTTTGATTGATTCAGAGTTGCAATTTTTGTGTGCGTGAGACATCAATAGAACTTAACTTCAATCACACTAAATTCTATATAGTAAACAAAAACATTTGAGAAACTTGAAAATATGCCTGCCTCTCTCTCACTCCACACACACCCCACCAATCCCGCTTCTCTTTTCGGTTAATCAAAAATATTTTTATAATATAAATTTTAAATAAATACTTCCTAAATAATTATAAATATTTATGATAAAATTTGTATACTTTAAAATTTAAAATTACAACTGATATGATATAAATAGATATGAATACATATTTATTTTATTTTTTTAATTTATAGAATATTTACTTGAATAATTTTTTCATTAATTATACAAGGCTCGAGAAATAAGCTTTATCATTTATAAAAAAATATGTGAGATAAAACTATAAAATGTATTAAAAAAAGGCATGCAACTTCTAAAATTTCTTTCCCTTATTTTTATGATTTTTCATAATTAGGTTCTATATATTTAATTATATTAGGCTTGGTTTGGATGGAGGGAAAAGTGAAAAAAATAGGGATGAAAGAAAATTATATAAATTAAAAAATAACATAAATAAGTATTCATATTTATTTATATCTTATCAATTGAAATTTTAAATTTTAAAAATATACATATTTCTATCAAAATATTTATAATTATTTAGGAAGTATTTATTCAAAATTTGCATTATAAAAAGGCTAAAATATGTAAAACTCTTCTAAATTTTGAGACAATTGTAAAACCTTTTATCTTTTTTTAACACACTTCTCCAATAGTTGTTTCTTAATTATCTTATTGGTAGAAGTTGCCATATTATATTAAGAAAATATATATAGCAATTTATGTGACATATGCTATAAGTTAATAGTAGCTTTATAAAAATTTTATCAATATTTTTGGATATTATTAGCATACATCACGAGCAAGATAAATTGCTACATATTTTTTTTAGTACGTCGTGATAACTTCTGCTAGTAAGATAAACAAAAAATAATAGTATGGAGATTTATAATAAAATAAAATGTTAGAAAGGTCATTTTAAACTTCTAAAAAATGAGAAGATCCTATATAGTTATTTAAAAGTTTAAAAAAGTTTTATATATTTTAATCTTATAAAAAACATATAATTTTTATCTATATTATACTTATGAGGGAAGGGCAAATTTTCCACAACTTTGTACAAGCAACGGGGGTAGTTGTGTTAAACCCCTCCCAAAAAAAAAAAAAAAAAACACACACACACACACACACGGGGAGGGAGGGAGCAGTGATGCGTGTGTGAGGGGAGAGAGAGTATGGTGGCATGCTTTTGAGTTTTTGACATGATTTATTTTATTATATAGAATTTGGTGTGATTGAAGGCAAGTTCTACTGATATCTAACACACAATTTTTTGACATTGGGTATTGAAGCCTTCAATTCAAAGGCCAGAAAAACTTGAAATTAGAGAAAATAAAAGCTAGGAAAACATAAAAGTAATGCCAACTAGGCCTGCTCTAGGAAATCGACAGCAGGCACAAAACGCTTGTCATCCCAATAAGCTTGGGCACAATTGTGATACACATGCAATAATAGACGAGAGTTAAGAGTCAAGGAAATGAGCACCATTGGTCAGTGAATCTGCGCAACAAATCGCTCGTCTTGGGGAATAATCGATCTCAACATTCTATTCATCATACATCATCTCACGCATTCCCCAAAGAATGGCTCGGAGAGAATAGTTAATCGAGCTCTCGTAACAGTAGACAATAGCATTAAGTGAATCTAAGTGGACACAAACCTTGGTGAATCCCATGTTTTTGCAGACCTCCATCCCTGTTTTGATGGCCATTACTTTTGCTGCAGTTGAGCTCTGGCATCCCAGGCTCTTCATGAACGCCTATCGATAAATAAACTTTTTTTTTTTTTTTTACATCATGATGGTCAAGCCCCTTTTGGCCAAACTTTTTCTGTAAAAAATTCATACGGAAGTGGTGCTACAGAGCACAATTTATATGTAATTAATACTTTGCTATTTGAAATTATATTTTGCACATCTAAAATTTGTTTTTTAATCACCATGTTACTTCTAAAAATGTTGACTTTTTAAGATCGAATGATTACAGGTGACATTATTACTTTTAATATTGAGGTTTTCTGTGCAAATTTGTACGCCTTGAAGTTTTGGGTACGGCAACGGCTTCAGCGAAATCTATTTATATATGATCCTTTTTTTCTACACTTGTTGGATAATCATTAGCCGACGACCGACGTCAATTCCTATCACTAGCTGCTATGCAAATCACCATTGGATTCCATTTCCACTAAAACTTCAACACGCTTCTTCTCTAGCTATATCCACCAACCGCACTCATCTTCGTCTTCTTTATCACAGTGACCATCTCTTTTTATTTTTCTCTTCCGAAATGGCTCGCAGGAAAGGGTTGGTCTTTTTCCTTTGTCTTTATCTATCAATTCACTGTGAGGTAACAACCGCGGCATTTTTCAAGCCCTTCAATGTCACCTACGATCACAGGGCTCTCATCATCGACGGCAAGCGCCGCATGCTCATCTCAGCTGGAATTCACTACCCACGCGCTACTCCCGAGGTTCGCTACTAACTTTCATGCCCCGATGGTGTTTTTGAGAGGACGGAGCATATGTGCATGGGTGATCTTCCGTAG